GCCGGATTTGGAAGCTCAGTTTTTCAGTTTGGATGAATAATGGTGTTGCAGAAATAGTATGAGTACATGCATTGTCCTTTTGGAAGTGGCACATCAGGGTGAGACCATAGGAAGGGGACCAATTAAGGTCCTAGGGCTTGATTCGTCAGATTACCATCACGCTTGCCAGATTACCATCACAGTCTAACCTAGACCATCACACTCGGACCTTCCATTGCTTGAGAAGTTGTAAAGAAGCATGTCATTGTATAGGTCTGTACCACACATACACAAAAGTCTGTGTTCAAGTCACTGAAGAGGCTGGACACCATTGGCACCTGCAGTACTGTACTGTACATACTGTATCAACAGCCTTTTCCTCAAAAGTATAGGAGAGTGTCAACCAGCTACAGTTTCTTCCATGCTGCTAATGTGAAGATTAGAATATATTTACTTGAAAGCAGAATATAAATGAGCAACGGTGATCCCCTCTGAACTGGAAAGAGTAAAAGGAGCAAGGGCGGCTCACAACAGTTTCTATTATAATTTATTTGTGTGGCAGGTGCCCTAATTTTGAGCAACATTATACTTGAATGAACAATCAATCCAGTAAGTAGGTAAAAATCTGATACCATAATAAAGCAAAGAAAATGCAGTAAGTCACAAATGTACAATCTCTCAGCATAAATAAAACCCCATGAAGGAGCAGATGCGCTATGTGCCGGGACTAGTACAGCAGTAGTTACAGTGCAAGTCTAGAGAGAAGAATGAAATTGTAAGTGCATTTCATATACGTTTAAAAACATAACATACAGTAAATATGCTAAATATTGTGTGGAGAAAATAAAAATTGAAAAATAAAATAATTAAGGGAGGCTAAAGAATCCAAGGACAAATTGTCTTAATGCAGTTATTTGGGAACAGTCACTAAAAATAGGAAACTTTAGTACAATATCCCTGTTGTACGTAATATTCTAAATGTGGTCATACTACTGCATTGTACACTTTACTTTTCTATAAACAGAGATCTTCATAATAATCATTTTTATTGATAAATATATTGGTATTAAAACAATTGTAACACTATAGATCACTATATCTTTAATCATCATTCATTCTCTGATACTATTTTATAAAATATCTGTCCCTCTTATCTCTTAAGAAAATATCCATTATCTCTCTAAAAAGCTCACAATGTCCTGAATATGTTTTTTTAATGCTTAGTAGCAAAACCTATAAGATTTTTGCATTAAGAAACAGTACAACAAAAAGTTGGTGCCATTTCAGTAATAATACGTAAATTACCTATTACATGGTGAGTAGTCAGGATTTGAGATGTAATAAAAGAAAATTGACAGAATACTGCTTTTAGCTTTTAAGTTTCCAGTTAATGCTAATAGCTTTTACACTACTGCACAACATTTTTTTTTCAGATTATAAAAGATTTATATAACTTTCTCCATCCCCTACACAAATTTTCTGGTGACACTGAAAATGACCAAGCAAGAAGATCAGTTGGTGCAGTCACTCTTAGTATATTGCCATGTGTGGCAAAATGTCTTCGTGAATTTTGTTACGACAAGGGCATTGTCCCTATAAAGACTTAATAACCTGGTTTGACAAAACAACTCTTGCAGAACAGCATCTCTGAAGATGCCATAATAAAGCCTGCGAGCCCTCAATTATTTTGTTGTTATGTTTGGAGTCAATCACTCCTAACATAAAACCGCCAGCTTTAACTGAGCACCCGTCAATAAGGAGATGTGAGAGAAAAAATGGGATAGGTGGAGGTCTTTTTCCATTATTATTTATAAGTCAGTCTAGAGCAATAAAAGTGTGTACATTATATCAACATTATAGAGAAATAAATTGTACCTAGATTTGGGAAATAAATGATGCATCCTAAAGTCTTTGAGCACATTTGGCCTCAAAACACTCTAGTGTTTATGGATGTGTTATAAATGTGCCAGACCTCTCTGAGATTGATGGTGCCTGGACCTTATCAACATGGTTGGCTTTATTGGCCTGATAACGTGCAGTCTTAAGATCCTATCAGTCTTTTAATGTTGCCAATACAGTTGGTGTTTGCTGCTTAAAGAAAAGGGATTTGTGATTGAAATATGTAGTTACAAGTTTTCAATACACTTTATAACTGTCATGATGAAAAACGATAAAAGCAGTTTCGTTTATGTGACAGATGAAATAAATTATTGCTGTTGGGTCTTGAGTTTGATTCTAGATAAGGATGCCTTCCTTTTTTGAGCTTGCATGTTTTTCCAATGTCCATGTAGGCTTTCTACATCTACTGTACATGCACTGTAGTTTCCACAATCCAAAGACAAGCTGTCCAGGTTAATTGGTATGGTATCTCTCCAGTCTAAGTGTGCCAGTGACCGCCTGTGTTTGCCCTGGCATCTCATCCAGGGTCTAGTCTTACCCTGTGTCCTGTACCTGACAGGTTAGGTTTCTGGTTCATCATGACCCTCTAAGGATAAAGTATTGTAGTTACTGAGAACGAATGGATGAATAATGGATTTTATCAGATGTTATTGTTAACTGCAAAGTCTTTAATAAGGTGCCAAAATCTCAAATGCATCCTGATGCTATATTTACATTGGCTGAAACAATCTTAAATCTAACTATACTATCTGAATATGTACATAGAATCACTTTTTAAAAATAATTCTGCCCAATGTAATTTCTGCTTAGCTTATGTGTACTCTTTATCAAAGTTTACATTGCTACATCTGTGACACTGCCAATTGAAAAGGATAGAGTAACAAAAATTAAGACATCCATGTATGTTAAGTTTCAGCTGTAAGCGCAGGAGTTTTACAAACAGGTTATGTCTATTGTATGTGATATCTATGATAAAATATATTTTCTATCTGCTCCTTGACAGCTTGTTGTGAAGTTCACTATACAAGAATAAAATTGAATTGAATTGAATCCTTCTGAGCACAGGCTTTAAAGAAAGCATTCATTACACTGGATTCAAATTCAAATCAAATTACATACCTGGAGGTAGATTTTCACATTCGAGAAGCATTGCTCTGGTTTACAATCAGAACAATGCTCCATATTAAACAACGTGCTAATTCATTGCATCATTAAATTTCTAGAGTAGGGTTGTGTACCAGCCAGGGCATAAATTAATGCATAAGTTACAGTAGCTGGTGCATAAATATATTTTGAATTTTATATTGCAGCCTAATTCTTTCCCAGCACAAGGGTTTCCTGAAACACATGCTTAACGGCAGTGACTAGTAAATCTCAAGTCATCTCAAACATGTTAGTATAACACCAGCAATCTGTTAGTTTTCTTTATGTGGCACAAATTTACGTCAGACTTACTCAAGGTGGACTCACAAGCCGTAGAACTGCACCCTCTTTAGTGATGAATGAAGGTTTTCTGTAGACCATCCTGATTGATGTGAAGGGGCGTGGTGCAGATGTACAGAATGATATGCTAATTATTGTTGAATGGACCAGTTCACGTGTGGTGGTCTGGGCAGGAGTCTCTACTCGCTACAGAACTTCACTTCTCTGATTGATGCAACCTGACTACATGGCGCTATAATGAAGAAGTCAGCAGACGGACTCGTCAGAACAATCAACAGGTGATAGAGTGTAGTAGAGCAACCAAGAGCAGTCTGCCTCAATGGAAGTCTGAACTAAGCACCAGCAGTACAAGGATTGTGTTAATACTTAGGGAGGTAGTGCCTCCCTTGTAATACATTTTTTATTTTGACTCAGTCACATTTTATACTGAAGGCATGTCATGATTCTTTGATTTGTATTTCCTGTTTAAAATATTTTATTAAATTCAATAGAGCTGAGATGATTGATTGCATGTCTTTTGTGCATAGGTATATATATAGTATTTTCTTAAGGATTTGGCACAAACCTAAAACATGAGACATGTGAGCCTCATTTACTGAAAGATCATGATAAGATGTAGTATTTTTATTTTAAAAAAACAACACTCTGTTGCCTTTTGAGAGATTAATGTTGAGAGATTTAACACAACTTTTGTTCTTCAGCATTTTAAATGGTAGTCTCAGATCCTAGATTGAGTACTGCCTGAAATGATATATCTCACTGACATACTTTTGATCAGTTCCAAAGTTGATTTATTTTCTTGGACCATTGCTGAACCTAAGTCCTAGATCTGAAGCCCCCAAAACCTTTATATATTGTATCACCTACTCTCTAAATAAAATAGGTCTTTAATTTTCAATAGAAAAGAAAATTATGTCAATATGATAAAGCACACATTTGGACACTTCTTTTTTATTTGTACACACAGCCTCTTCAATTATCTATAATGACTTTTTTTTTAACAGAGTCATAAACCTTTTTATATGCAAACCAGTTCTTCATTCAGAGTAATGCAATCAAATTGCATTAATGAACTTCAAACAAGTGTTATCATAAATTTAACAGCCTGGAAGAAAGAAAATTGTAGGTCCAGTTTTTATTCTGGGTAAGAAGCACCTTATCTGAAGTCTTCTAAGCTCTGTCTACTCCTTATGCTGAACAAGGAAAGAAAATCCAGGTGGAAATTTGTTTTTGGAAAAGGGAATACGCTGACTCCTGTTTTACTCAGCCTTGTCAAGCATTTTTGTTATGTTTTCCAAATGTATTTTTATTGCATTTTCTTGCAGTACTTTAGTTTTTCAAAGTCCAGAATAAGAGAAGATTACTTACGTAATAGTGTTTTATGACTGTTCAAAGAAATAAAACTTTTTTGACATAACTCAGAATTCAGCCTTTATCTACTGTATGTATTTTTAATCTGCCTACACAGTGAAAGTGAGAGAGAGATTATGAATATCGTTCAGAATTTAAATGCTTGTCCCACTATGGTTGTCTCTCAGGCATGTATATCATCCCATTTGTTTTGCTACCAGCTTGTCAGTAGGTTTTTTTGCTTCAGCTAACAGAACAAAACGATCAAAATGCAAACTTCCTAAACTACGCAGCAGAGTTTTATTTTGAATGTCCTTGGTGTTTTTCAGGACTGTCCTCAGCTGCTCCCAGCAGAGAAGATACTTGTCCCAGTTGGAGTTGTAAAGCCTATCACACTGAAAGCCAAAAACCTGCCCCAGCCCCAATCTGGCCAGCGAGGATACGAATGCATTCTCAACATCCAGGGCACAGAGGAGAGGGTGCCAGCTCTGCGCTTCAACAGCTCCAGTGTGCAGTGCCAGAACACCTCAGTAAGTTTCAGATCAACGCTTCACGACATCCTTCTGTGCATGCAAAGAATGCAAGCCTGCTCAATGACATGACACCAGTGGATTTAAAGCTCCTTCCTTTACCAGCTTAAATAGTTCAGCCCTGTGACAGTCGCTCATTGAAATAGAATTTAGAAAGTTACAAAATGGAGACTCCTTCAACTAACACTTACTGTAGCTGAGACAGAATAAGGAACTGACATTTACCCGTGCAAGTAATGCTACTCTATAGTCAACCTTTCACCCAGTTAAGCAGACAAATGATTAATCCAACCAACGTAAGGGACATTTAAGCTTTTCAAAATATAGTTTGCACAGATTCCATTAGCTGTATAAGAATATTACACATAAGCATGAACAATATAACATGTTTGCTTCAAATACGATGCACAGATATACTAAAGTATCATAAAATTAAAGATCTAAATATTAACTGAATGTAAAACTTTGTCTAACTCTGAATACAAAACACTCTGTTTTGTTTCTCTATAAAAGCACTATACTCACTGGCCTTCTTTAAAGAGCAGACCTATTGAAAGCTTCTAAAACTAAATTCCTGGTATTTTTATTTACAGTATAGTAAACAGTTGAGTTTCCACTGCCTACAATGATAACTGGAATACTGGAATTATTTCTACAGCATATAAAAATAAGATATTTAATATGGTGAAAATGGTTCACAAAAGGTTTCCTTGCCTGTGAAGTATGAATAAGGATATCAATAGCCTACTAAATATGGATACAAATTTAGTTTTGCCCAAAATGCTTTCTGAGTTCAACTCTCGGCTGGTATGCTCAGCTTCCTCTGTTTACTTCTGCCTGAATTAGGATGGTGGGTATAGAGGCTGGAATAACAGAACTGCTTCTCATAATCCCACTGATGCAATGAAGCAGAAACATTAATAAAGTAAAGGTATCTGTTAGTCAGGTTCCCAAAGACAGCACCAGCTATTGTTCACCTAGACACTTCAAGCATGGCAGTGATCTGCTCCGCCAAGCCTGCACAGCCTCCCTCTGGCTTTGTTTTTTTCACTTAATTGTTTTTCCCAGCTTAAATGAGTGAATGTACAATATACAGCCTGAAAGATATTTAATTCATGAATGTCCTGCTAGTGACATGAAGGTAGGTGATTATGGCTAATTGTTTTCCTCTGAGTAACTTAAAAATTAATCAATTGGAATAAATAGAAAAGTATTCCTGCATGGCACAGGTGGAGCTCTGATTATCAGTCCTGTCCCAAGACAATCCGAGATGCTTGTCGACTTGTATTTCAAGTTCTAGTACTACACCAAATAATTTGCAGAGTACTGTATATCTGTTCGTATGACTCTTATTTCCAGTTGTGTTTAACTTTTTGGTTACGAATTTGTAGATCCCATCTACACAAAAGTCAGTTTAAGGTTTGGAGGTGTGACGTTTCTCCAGTTACACAGTTGTCAGATTTCAGGAGATGCATGCACACTTTCAACTGCAGCATTTTCAGCTAAACTGCCTTTAGTTTAAAATCTACATTAACATTCATTCAGCACATGACTGTATAAACAAGGCCTTGCTTAAATAAATAAGTGCCTTATCTTCTACTGCTGTTCACTCTAGATTGGCAGAGACAGCTGCAGAATACATGTGATCTAAGATGCAGTTCTTTTCATCCTCTTGACATAAATACATGTCCTGGGTTCAAGGGGATTCAGGAGCTTGTTCATCGTGTAATAACAGTGATTTCACTTGTATTTTCAGTGCCAACCCAGCAAAACACCCTGAATTGGCAATTTTGATAAAACATCAACTCATCATCAGCAGATAGTGAGCAATGCCTTGCCAGCAGGTGCCTAATAAATACAAGTAGTACAAACTCTCAAGAGTCCACACACCTTTTTATCAGATCTACCAAGCAATATAACAAATCCTGTTACAGTACATGGCACTAAGCAGTAATAAATACTGTACATTAGCAGAAAAATAATGCCACTAAAAACAAAGAAGAATGTTTAATCAGGACAGAAATAATTCCAGAAATAATACAGAAATAATGCCTACAACACAGTGCACATCCTGTAATTATGCGTAGCAGGTTGAAAGATCTGAGTAAAAAATATGTTGCAGATTCTCAAAAAAACAATACATTTCGGGGAAATACAACAGCTGGACTGAGAACACTACCTTGTTCCAGCAGTGATTGACTATGGATATGCTTCTGTGAGTACATAGCTTAAGGAACAGGGTGGTGGATTAAAAGAGAGCAAAACTAAGTGCCTGGGCCTTCACTGATGTCGGAACATACTGTAGGAAATTTAACAAACGTAAGGAGGTCATTTGGCCCACCTAGCCCATTTGTTATTTAGTGGCTAATTGATTCAAGGATTTCATCCAGCTGTTTCTTGAAAGAAGGCGAGATATGTAAAGTACTTATGTATGCTATTTTTTAAGTACATTCAGACAGTCTATCTATAAGTGAAATCATTTTTAAGGCCTACTGTGCAATCCCTATGATCCCTCCTGCATCTATATTCCAGTTGTTATGCTTGTTATTGGATTTCAAAGTTGATTTTTAATCTTTGGTGCACATTGTATGTACTGTAGTTGTTAAACTGACTGCTTATTTTTGCAATATAGACTATTGTGTATCCTCAGCAAAGTTCTAACTATGCAAGCAGTTATCTAATCCATGATCTGTAGTAATTGAGCCTTTTGCCTTGTGTAAAGAGTGGTGTAATTTTGTTCTGAGATTGGTGAAGAGCAGCTAATTTATTTTAAATATACACATTTTGTCCTGCTGACAAAAGAGCTTTTTAATTCCAAACACTTGCACATTTTAACTACAACATGCAGCAACAAAAGAAGCATAAAAAAGTTAGGTAAAAAAAGAGTCAATTTTACCTATCTAGCTCATTGGTAGTTAGTAGCTAATTGATTTGTGGATCTCATCCAGTCATTTCTGCTTCTTTAACAACTTGTTCCAGATACCCATTGCCCTTGGTGGATGTATCAGATATGGTTAGAACTACAAACCTTTATAATACTTCTTTGATGGCTGGGAGTGTAAACAACATACTCATTAGAAATAACAGCAACAGAATGCTGGGCTTTTGTCTTTCTTGTCCAGTCCCTACTGTATATTTTGTCTTTTTAATGTATTCATGTAGTAAATGAAGCTTCCAAACCTCATCATTCGTCTTTCAACTGTCACAAGTGAGATGTGTTTTGATCTGTGCTATGGGTGATGACCCTGATGCAAATCCACCTAGAAAAAATGCATCAAACAACAATTTTTAGGGGATTAAATAAGTCTTGTGCGGCCAAATCCTGAATCAATTTTTTTTCAAAACCCTAATTCCCACCCAACTGAATTGTTACATTTTGTAGTAGACTCTTACATTTGAAAATAATGTTTTTTAGAATTGTAATTAATGAAGCAGTGAGTATATTAAATATTGCTGTCTGATTAAAACTCTTGTTTACCTTCATAATTGTTACCTTATTCATTTTGAGAAAAGGTAAAATACTGCTTTGCATCCCACAAAACAGTCTTGCAGTCCTGGTAGTCTTTAATCGCTTTTGTTGCCCAGACACTTATCACAGATCTCACAAGCCCACAGGATGTCAGTTCAACTGTATTACCTGCAAGGCATAACCTAATATAAACTAATGCTCTAAAGCTGCAAAACAAAATCATCGTTATCCCAGTTTGTAATCTTCTAGATAAAGGATTGCTAAAATGGAAAAAAAAGACAGATCAGCCCAAGTCACATATATTAAAAACATCAATCTTTTCACATTTTCATTTTAGTTAACTGTTCCTTTTTTCTTTTGAAAAAAACCTGGCAGCTGGGTAAGAACTGTCATTTTGACTAAGTAATTTCTATGGAGTTTTGAGAACATACAGTATAGGTGGGCAGGATGAAACTTGCTGAAAATATCCTCTTCACTGTTCCTTCCCATGGGACACAGTATGTAGGCATCAACAGATCAAACTGCAACCATCAGCGTATTAACTTAACTTTAAGGATAGCTTATGTCCTACTGCATTACTGTATGCTTCATCTAAATGTACAGTATCCTTCATCAGCTTCTATTAATTTAAAGATGCTATTAACCAGTGTTCTTGTCACTGTAGCTTTTGCATGACAAGAAAAAGTTCATAGCATTACTTGTTTTTAACCTGTTTCTGTCTGTCTGTGATCTTCCCAGTACTCCTATGAAGGAATGGAAATTAACAGTCTCCCAGTAGATTTGATGGTGGTATGGAATGGTGACTTCAGCATTGACAATCCAGCAGATAACAAAGGTAGGGTCTACTTCAATATGTCCTTGAAACTGGTAACTATGGCAACAGGCCACACTATCCTACACTTAACACAACAGAAGCAGCAGATCCCCTTCTTAACTTCACACTTTCCTTTTTCCTGTCAGGGTGTCATTAATACATATCCCTCAGCATATCTATTTGCTGTTTATTCTTAAAATCCTCATACATCTAATTACTCATGCTTTAAGTGGACTGCCTGAACAGAAGACAGGCTGAAAGAGTTACAAATAGTGAAGATTTCATTTAACATATATATATATATGTAACAACATATACTGTACAGTACACATATTGGTGAGACTTAAAAAATGATACTTTGGCATTATACAGTAGATGTAAATGGAGAAGCCCTTGGCTCAGACTACAAGACTTTGAAAATATCTGGATCAGATATTTTTTTAAGTCTTCATTTGAATTTATTTATTTATGATTTGTGAGCCTTACTCAGTCTCCAAAGTGGTTGTGGTACACGTAGTTGGTTTCTTTGTGAGCGCTCTTCATGTCCCTTTTGATATCTGAAAATTAGTTTCTGATCAAATTATTTGAATCGGGTGAGAATAATAGTAAAGTTATTGATAAGTACTGATAAAATTTAAGACAGCCTGCTCTGAATATTGTAGATTGTGGAAAACGCTACTTTAACCACATAAGATCCACAGTGGCGGGTTTTACTCTGTTTAGTACACAAAGATTTTATTTATTTGCTTCTGTTTTGCCTCATATTCTGCACAGTAGAAAGTAAGATTGCATGTCTTCTGTCTGTGGATAAGAATTTAAAATAAAAAGTGTCAGGCAAAAAAAAAAACATGCACTTTACACAAAGTATTAGATCAGGAAATGGTGCTCTGGGAACATAATTTGATGGACGGATCACAGAAGCATCTAATGGCAATTAAAAAACAAACGTCTGTCTGGTTTCCATGGCAATAGAATGTTAAACTAGTTGATAAAGAGAAGCAGAGCACCGTAGTTTAAGAGCTAAGTGCCTAAGAAAAGAGCAAATGTCACCTGTAAGGCTGCCTCTGTTTATAAACGGATGAAAATGTGAGATACAGCAATTAAACGCCAGCCTCTTACTATGCAGTCCTTATATGAGCTAAATATTTTGCTCCCATATTAGCTCTGTTGGAAAGGGTTCAACAAATTCTCTTCAATAATTTCGAAGTGGTTTATGGAAAATCTATTTTTCATTCTGTGTAGCCATGACTTGGTTGCTTCTTAAGCCATTTTTATAAAATGCTATCAGATTATTTGCCATTCACCTACTTCACTTATGGACCTAAGATGGAGTGATTGCACATTTTATTTCTGGTGGACATAATTTGTAAAGCGGAACTAAGGAACTATGTCATTGTCGTAGGCGGAATGATTGGGTTTCATTGTGGAGAGAGAGCTACAGTAATGTGTACTGTATAAATCAATCAGGAACCACAGTGATTAATAAGTTCCTAAACTCTCAATAAAAGAAAAAGAGAAGCTGTCTAAAAGGGGCAGAAAAGCAGCAATTTAATACATTTACCTTGTAAACCTGCCTTAAAATGTTAAAAACTAAAGATGTGAAAGATTCTTCAGATGAAACAGAATTTATCCACCTGTCAGTGTCTGATTTCATAAATTCTAAAGGGGCCAGTAGAAAGCCCATTTGTCTCCATTCCTCAGAGCTGTCTTGCTCACATCATTGCACAGAATCTTATCTTACTTCTGTGTACTCTGCCCATCTTCCCCCTCAGTGAAGTTTTGCAAAAGTAACTTCTCAGACATTATGTTCTCTGATGCTAATGCCCATTTATTGTGACGTACTGTATAAAAGAGAACAAATGGACTTGACCATATCTAGATAATAATGTCATCTAGTTCTGTTAAAATACAATAAAGCACATAAGAAATATTCTGTTTTAGATTGACTATTTGTATTTCTAAATACCTCATGATGAAAAAAATAACCTTAAGCATATATGGAACTGTCAAACGCCCATTCTTACACGGTATAATATGCACCTTTGGAAGTCTTGGTCTGAATAGAAAATGTAACGTCTGCCCAATGCATCAGAATTCTCTAGAAGGAGGGATCCCATATGGTATCCCAGGAGTCAACCAGTTAATTTCAGCCAGTGCTGTTCATTAGGAGTACAGGTTGAGCACTACAGTTGAATTCCGGTCACTGCACATGAGAGACTTCTGTGTCTTAGCTCTAGCCCTGTGTTTGCATTATTGTCACTGGGAGCTGCATCACTCCTCCAGTGAATGCTGACTCTTCCTCAGGCACCATGCGACTGTTTTGAAACGTATTGTTATCAAAAAAGGTCCCCATTCTTCCTGTTCCTCATTGTGCTCATGTGAGCAAAGGCTAGTGTGGCTAATACCGTAGTTGATGATTCCAAACTGAGATTGTGGTTGCAAAAGTAAAATAGATCAGACTGCCGATTTCATCCAAGCAGAGCATAAGCTCATTTCTCCCTTAAATTACAAGACAATAAGCAGTAATGCATAGTGGGAACCTTTACCATATATATAACTATATATGAACCCTGCTGTATTAAAACACATCCCCACACATAGTGGAAGTGTTAATTTTTCTGCATTTCATCTGTACGTGTGGTATAAATAGAGGATATCTGCATAAATATCTACATAACAGTCTGCATTATACACATGGGAAGGCTATGAGATACTTGTATTGGTATAAGAGATTGATCTGAAAATCTAGAGAAATAAGTCAACTGCAGTGACATAAAATATTATTTAACATGAGCAATGGTTTAGTTTTATTGCATATTGCATGAAAATAGAAAAAAATGATACACATTTTGGTACTAACTGACGTAATATGAATCACAATATTATGGTAATATCCAAAAATTGCTTTCAGCGTTTGTGTATTGGCTCATTTGAATGTGTTGTTTCCTGGTAAGATTTGTCTTTGCTTTCTGATTTTCTTTTTTTCTTGTGATGTGGCAGTTCACCTGTATAAATGTGGAGCTATGAGGGAGAGCTGTGGACTGTGCCTGAAGGCTGATCCTCACTTTGGCTGTGTGTGGTGTAAAAGGGAGAACAGATGTACACTGAAACAGCATTGCCCACAACTGCAGAACCAGTGGCTGGAGAACACAGGGCTGAACAGCAAATGTACCCACCCAAAAATAACACAGGTAAAAAATCTGTTATTAAAACAGTTGGTGCTCATCTTGTTTCATATGTTAGTACTATGAAATGAGTACTCTAGGTATTGCTAATATCTTTTTAATAGAACTGGTTTGAAGAGCTTTTAAGTGCAACATAAAATCATGTGTGAGTGGTAAATTCACTAATGGTGATATAAACTTCAAATGCTGTTTATTGTGGTGAAGGTGAGGTTGTGGTGATGGTGGATGGTGTGGGTATGGGGGTTCCTAAAGAAACGTTTGCATTGACTGAGTTACTGTATGTCGTGTAGTAAAAATGATATGAAAGTTTGTTTAACTGAGGATAAGAAAAAACAGGTAGCAGTTTCAACACAGTTTCCATTTGTAACATGTTAGATACAGTACATGGTTTTAGTTGTGGGAAATACCCTTACCATTCTGAAACATGATGGATGTAGAGAGCTTAAACATATGCTTGCCTAAACCACTGAGGGTGTCTTCAGGTTAAACTTCACACTCACTATAAATACAGACAATACAAGTCTGTGAAAATTTTCCTTGTCTTAATACAGCATCTCCTTGATGCTGCATTAAAAGATTCTTGTTGGAAAGTATTTTGTGACCAATTAATGGAGAAGAATCCTCTGGTGGTTGGATATGTATTGCAGCTAGTGCTCTGTCTGGATCTGTAGGGGAGTTTTGTCTTGCTGGCTGCTCTCCAAAAAGACACCCAGCCACATTTTAAAAACCACATAGAAGTTATAAGAGCCTTCATATCAGTATAGCAAAGAGGACATGAAAAATTAATTTTACATGATACAAGAATCTTTCCCTTTTTAACGAATATCAAGTGTAATTGAAACATACAGTACTGTACTCCAGCAGACATTTAAATTTTTTTTGTCACTTTATGACTGCATTCTCTTAAGATAATAAACTGCTGTTTTGTTATATTTCCATATATAAAATTTCACATTGTTTCACAAAGCTTTACTGAGAAAACAGAAATTATGGCACAGTTGAATATTTCCCTACCATATCTGTCTAATGCACATTTTATATTGATTCTAAACTCTCATTAACCTAACATCTTTTCTAAACATATAAAAAATCTTTAATAGGTGTTGTAAAGTATAGTTTTGTATTATGAATGAAAACATATAAAATGAGAAAATATTGATAGTATACTGTATATGTTGTTGCACAATGTACAGTATGCTATTGATTTTATCAGTCATGTAACGTATAACCTTCCAGCATTATTTGGACATCTGAATTTCTTAGCCATACTTGTGCTTTCATATTGAGTTTTTTTTTTTAATGCAGTACACACAGTATTAATGGTCTTTGAACCAATTCTGCTACATTTACGGAAGTAAAGCTTTTTTCTTCTTCTTTTGGGTAAACCATTGGAAGCTTTTCACAAGTGAGAGTCAATACCTCTTTAATCTGGTCTACTGTTTCTAAAGCAGGCAGTGACAGAACTACAAAAGACACTGAGTCTGTTCATTATTGTGCATGTCTCTATCAGGTTTTGGACTTGCCGATATAGAACCATAATGAATTAGCTACATGCAAAAAGGATCTTTAAAATCTTAATTTCTTCCAGAACAATACAGATGACTAGAAGACTAAATTTCCCAAAGTATTTTTTCCATTTACACAGCAGATAACTTTATTGATTCATTTTTTTCAAAATGTATAGGATAGTGTGTCCTGCACAGGGTTACTAAATGTGTTTATTAGCACAGCTGCAGGGGTTGAGCATGTTGACTTGACCTGCTTTCCTTGAGTGGTGGTCTGTGTATGCATCACAGAGATGCACCTTGCACTGCATATAAAAGCCCAGTAAGGGTTTTTATGTGGCAGAGAAGAATGACACTGCAAGTTCTGGTTTCAATGCTGAGACTTAGAATACGCAATCCATTTACTGTATTTAAGGCAGATGGTAACTGAGAAGTGATGGTTAGCTGAACGTTTGAAAACCAAGATAAATCAGACTGCCTGTAGCTGGTGTATTGGTGTATTCTTAACCATATGCAGACCCTGGAATTAAACTGTACATTTTACTGAGGGATTGTATAGTGATCAACTTAGGAAAACAAATGCAAATCTTTGTATGAATTTTAAGCTATCCACCAATGTTGCTGCCGTTACATAAATAATTCATTGTATCTATCACAACATCTATTTAACGTAATGAAAATAAATACATTTTTGGAAACGTTGTGTTTCATTAAGGAAAATCATTGTCACACATCATAAAGCACGTTCAAGAATGTCTCTGATCTTGCAATTTCTTGTATAACATTAATTTATCAGGCTAAAATTAACAACTGAAAGTTAATATGGAAGCTAGAAGCTCCAATGATTAAAACACCCTGAAGCAAAGCACAAAGTGCTGCAGAATATTTTGTAAGTGCATCCTCTTTTTTATAATGCTGTCATTAAGTATTTTGGCTTCTGTTTCCCTGTAGAAAATTATTTTACATTGATGGTGAATAACAGACACTGCTGAAACAAACTAGTAATGTTGTATGACTGAAGGCTCTCAGATTTTCTTCTACAATGTTCACATTACAACTACATTCCTGCGTTGTCAGTTTAAGTCATGCTATGTGTGTGTCCTTGCACACAGAGAAGACTAGGACATCCTTACCCCAAACCCCATTCTGTTTGAAAGAACAGACTCAAACTGTGTGTTATAATAGAAAAGAGTGTTTTCTCAGTTCATACAATTACCTGCCACTGAAGCCACTTATAATCAAAGCTTAAATGAAGAACTATTGTATTCAAACACAGCACACTGCATACTGTATATCTTTGAAGAGACTGCAGAGTTCTGAACACCATTATTTACAATGTGATAAATATGAATAAACACACACACTTTAATTCACATGAAAAAATACATCTCGAATTTGAAGGTGTATTTGAAGATTACCTAACCACATGGTGATCCTTGGCCACATTATGTGTTACACATTGTAAAGAAACAAAAACACTATTCGTGAAGTGCTACAGTATGAACTTTTTTGTGATTTAGATTTGACATAAAACACTAATACAAAGCTGGAACTTCACAGTCATTACTTGCAGTGTATCAGTAAAAAAGGCTGAACAGGAAAGTCCAGCATGTGCGTTTAGGACTCTTTAACTTCTTATCCGAAACCATTGGTAACCATGCAAATAACACATACTGTATAATGTGAAAGCTGACACTTTTACAGTTTGCCAACCTCAAAGTTTATGGACTTAAGATACAAAACAATGCAGCATTCAGGCATTTGTGCCATGTTTCATCCCTCTCTTCATCAGCAGAGACAGACCGTGAGCTCTGTATTGTTTAATTGGACTTGATTAACTATAAACTGAACAAATATCCAGTGTGTATCTGAGCTGAACTCTTCACCCTCCTCTGCATAATTGAGACTATGTGTTTTCTGGACTACTTTTCCATTATAAAAAAAGTCAGTGTGGAAATAAACCTCAAGAATCGAGAAACACACAAACCAGCTGTATATTTGAATAATGTTTTCATATTTACATATGTTGGTAGACCTTTATGAGTTTTAACACAGATAATTCAGTTTTTCTTTTTCTTTTTTTTCTTTTTAACTTAAAATTGTATAGATTTTTTTCAATATAGGTAGAATGCCTAAACGTCCACCACTGGTCTGATTGTTTTCAATCATACAGTAGATTTACCTTCTGTAAATCATCCATCTCTGTTTTTGTTCTGTGAATGTACTGCTGTCTGAATGCATGCTATTGTATGGGCCTTAGTCCCTTAGCAACTCAGAACAATTTTGCATGTTAAATCTGGAAGGAAAGCAATATCTTGGTAGTTGAAATGTTAATAGGGGCTCATAAAGCACTTAATTAAAGAAACAGGATTAAAGTGTCAATAGTTAAACCCTTAAATAAGGGGCATCTGGGCAAATCAGTGAATACCCATGGCTATTATAATTATGCTGAGTTTTTTTTTCCTCTGGTGACAGCACCATTTTCTTCAGAGAATGATACACTGCAGAGCACACGGCTAAAATAGTTCTTTGAATCTGAAGTTTATAAAATATTTCACTGCAAGTCGAGGATCAAGAGGTCACAGCTATTTTCCTTAGGGTTTAGTAGTTTAATGGTGCAGTCATGCATTGAACATTCATATGCAACAGCTTCAATATATGTAATAGTAACCTGCGTCTTGTCCCTCAACAGTGTTATAATTGAGATTAATACCCCAAATATGTTCACAGTGCTTAAATAAAATCTGACAAACAACTTAATAATAATGTTAACATTATAAGTTTGAAATGAACAACAGAGGTTCTAAAAGCTGTTACAAAAATACTTTAAATATTTTAAGACTTCAAGAAAATGTTCTCTCTGAGACATATTTTCCTCACGACAGATATTACAATTTGAATTTTATGGAGTAGTTTCATAGGTTGTGATTAGCAATAATCTTTCAGAATTTAATTTGTGTAAAGTAGTCCAGTTTTTTTAAGCCAGTCTTGTTTGTTTTGGTATTAATGCTCCTTATGTAATTGTGAAGCTTTGACAGAAGATATTTTCATAACACATTACTACAATCATTCACCTTATCCGAGTGAAAATTTAACCACACACAAATGTAATACATACTGTAGGAAATTAAGTAGCACTTTTAGCCATTTTAAAAATACAGAACACAACATTGAATATAACAGCTTATTTTTTTTACAAAATCAAAGCATTCTCTGTCTCGGAAATTAAGGTCGGACTCTTAAATTGGATCTCTTGATCTTTTTTTGCTCTCTGGCTTTCTCTCGTTCCCCCACTCTCTGTTTTGATTTGTCTGTGAACTGATAAAAAAATGAAAATATACCTGAGTTCACAGGCAGCATTTTTGGTGACCTACAATTTTCATACATAAGATGAATAGGATGAAGAGCCAAATTGGACTCATTTTGCAACATTTTGCAAATATGTGCCAACACTGCAGGATTCTGTGAACTTGTGTGAACCAACCCTATCCGCGAGCACTGCAGATACAGACAGAATTATTCTCACTTTCTTCATCTGGATACTCCTTGCTAGGGTATTATTAATATTTAATTTGTCTTCTGTGATTATTTCAGATAACTCCTTTAAGAGGTCCAAGGGAAGGTGGTACATTGGTAACCATACGAGGGGAGAATCTTGGCCTGGAGTTCAGGGAGATAGAGGGACATGTAAAGGTGGCAGAAGTCGATTGTACACCAGTTCCAGAGGGGTATATCCCTGCTGAGCAGTAAGTAAAATGGCATTGTAAAGATTCGTCTGTTAATCTGAATTGCAAAAATATATATATATCACCATTTCCTTTTGCAAGAGTAAAAAAGGATCTTCACTTGATTGGTTGCACAATGTTAAGAAATTCTTCTTGTGGATGTGTGATGTACTGTATGTGCTCTCAATATACTGTATCTAGATTTGCATACACAGTAGCTGTATAAAAAAATAAAATAACATGCTTAAAATCCATTTGCACTTGAAAAAATCAAAAGCACCATAGGTTGATAGATATCACTGACCGCAATGCACAGAATCAGAAAGTTGCATGTCCTGATGAAGGAAGCAACAATTTGTCTTCTGCATTACAGATAAGAGCTACAGTGAAGTGCATTGAGGATCTTGGTTTTGAGCTGTTACCTCACACACCTTATAGCCCATTAACAGAAAAATACAATATATTACCACAAACATGCACAAGATTTCTGGAGACATTTTACTTCAGGTGGTACTTTCATAATCTTGTAAATCATATCCTTTACATTTTTAAATGTTCCCGAGGTAAACTGTACTAAAATACCACATGGCAGATATAGTTGTATTAGTTCTGTTGTAACATTCCTGGGGTATTTATCATGTAATTGTAAGCTCGTATGTAAAATATACTTCCATCCATCACATTATTTCCTCCATATTTATTTTGCAATATCCTGGTGCTGTACCTGCTCTGCAGAATCAATTGTGCTAGTCAAGGCAACTAACTGTTGTAACTTTCTGTTATAAAGCGTGTTCCTTCACATTATGTCTACCGTATGTGATAGTTTACCGCTGAACATCTCGGAATATTTCAATCATATTGATTATTCCATTCACACCCCTTGTCAGATCTTTTGGTAATGGGATAACGTGATTTCCTTGGAAGTGAATACGAGTTCAAATCTTTGTGAGACCTACCTACATAATATAATAACTATGGCATTTACCAAAGAAGAACCTAATACATTCCTGTAGTACTATGCTGTTGCTGTTATGTTCCACAAGTTATATTTCTGTCATACTTTTAGCTGTTGTGATAATCCTGTGGTAATTTCTGTTATTCTTAATGATTACCACCTTGGTATCACTAGATTGCCACAGCATATTTTCATAAGGGAGTCCAGATCTTAGCCTTATGAAGGAAGCTCTCTGAGGTCTGAAATTCAGTGATGACAACAAGACCAAAGTGGTAATGACTCAGCGCATCAATTACCTTGTGAAACAGTGGCAGAAGTGTTAGCAGGGGGGGTAAATGGAAAACTAAAACAATTTGCACCAGCTGTGAAGCGTATTTGGAGGATTTTATTTTTTTTAATCACTTTACTTACTAACATTCATATGTATCTGTGCTGTCTTATCTTTTTACCAGAGTTATATCACAAATATAAGAGCTCAGACTGAACTGAAGAAACTGAAGAAAAGTGGTGGCAATTTATTGTGAAAATCACCCCTCTTAAGCTTCTTAAATATTGTGAGAAAATTCAGCATTAGACAGCTGTCAAGTACAAAGCCATCTTAAAATCTGTGTAAACCTACTCTATCGGTTTCCAGTTGAATGTCGTGTATTTACTCTACATTTGACATTTGGAAAGACATGCCCAAATAAGCATACAGAAAACTGTTCTGAGTAGTGTATTGCTTTACAGTTGAGAAGATTTAATCTTTTCTGACTAGCATTAAGTTCAGTAATCATAGTTGGTTCAGATTAAACATTTCTAAAAGTGGCTTTGAAAAGAAGTGAAATGATCTATAAATATGCCATTAATAAAACATTATTGCAGATAATGCATGACACAGTCTACATTATATTCAAAATGTATTTTGTCTATTTGATATAGGCTTTATACAGTGCCTTGAAAAGTATTCACCACCTATCAATAACACTGTATTTCATTTTGCTGCTTTACAAATAATGTATATTTCCGTATGAGCTTATAATAGTTGGTGATCAAAATGAATACTTTCATAGGTGAAGGAGGATGATTGTCAGCAAAACCTTAAAAGATATATAATGTGAAATTGACTGATTGCCTAAGTATTCAGTGCACTAAGACAGTACTTGGTGGAAACACCTTTTACTTCATTTACTGCTGTCAGTAATTTTGGATAACTCTCCATCAGTTTTGCACAGTGGGATGGTGTAATTTTATCCATTCTTCCTGGCAAAAGTCTACCAGTTCTGACAAGTTCGTTGGGGACACTTAATGGACTACAATTGTCAAGCCTTGCTGTAAAATTTCTAATGGATACAAGTCAGGATTCTGTCTTGACAAGTCACTATCCTATTCGGACCACTTCAGTTTGTCTTTGGTCGTGTGCTTCATGTCATTGTCCTGCAGACTTTTTGAAGCAGACATAAATCCTTGGGTTGCTCAAGTGGGTTTTCATTCAAGATTTGCCTATACTTTCTAGCTTTAGTTTATCCCACAATCATGACAGGCTTTCTAGTTCCTGTTGATGAGAATCATGCATACAGTATGGCATTATGCTGTTACAGCCATGCATCCCATGACAAGTGGGATGGTGCTTACCTGGTGATGTACCACAGTATGTTGCATTACATGCAACACTTTTCATTTAGATTTAAAAGTTTAGCTTTTGTCTGGCCTGACCATAAAGCCTTTAATCAAAAGTCTGCAGTATCTCATACAAGATTTAAGATTGTTTTCAGCTAAGGCTTCTTTTGTGTCACACAAAATGGGTGGGCTTTGTGTGGCGATTTGGATATGGTTGAGGTACGAACCCTGACTCCCATCTCAGACATTTAACTTAATCGGTATGCCACTGTGAAGCCAACACGACACAAAAGAATATCAAAACGTTCTGCAGGACAAATCCATTTCTTTTCATCTTTGTTTTCAGGATAGTATGTGAAATGGGGAAAGCGGAGAGAAGTCAATATGCAGGAAGCGTGCAGGTCTGTGTGGGAGAGTGCAGACCTGAATTCATGGCAACTTCCTACAAATATTATTTCTTTGTGGTGAGTATCTTTTTGTTTCATGTTCAAGTACATTCCGATGGCAGCCAATTAATTCTCATGAGACATCAAGGCTGGAAGCACAGAAAGGCACTTAATTAACACAGGTTTTTTGAAAATCCTATTGAATCAGGACAACATCTGTATCAGAAATGATCTCTATTAGAATGACGAGGGCCAAAGTGACCAATAAGAAATATATATAGTCTTCTTGGTGTCAGAACAATGAATTAGGAGATTTCAGTAGGGCTCATGGTGCAATTATACTGTAACTGCATTATACATACACATAGTGCATGAACACATCTATTTTAATAATTTATTTTTAATAGATATTTTTGTTTAATTTTCACAAATATGAAGACATAATGAATATCTTAGAAGCTTTCTAGGTTTCCAGGGAGGATCCTATTGAATGCACTCCTGGAGTTGTCATATTTTAATGCTGGTGGTGGCACTTGTGCACTAGAATGCTGGCTTGGCATCCTTTACTCTTTTTTACTGTAAGCATGTGTAGATATCGGTTGTGTCAGAGATGCCTTTCACTAGCAAACTTGTTCTCCTAGAGTACATACAGTAGGACTGTTTTCTTTAGTAATGATTGAAATGTAAATATTTCCTTCTATGTTTCTTTACCATTCGAGTGATGAGTATGATTAAAAATATTTGTTTTAGAAAACACGTGAAATTTACATTGAATGATACAGATTACACAATCTGTAAGAACGTGTATTTTCTTTGTTTTAATAGATGCTTAAGAAGCAATTTTACTAATATGTTGTATGCTGCTAAGATGCAGTGCACACTCATCTGCGATTTCTCCTTGTTATGAAACGCATTCTGAAATGAAACTGCGTGGGTGTTATTATCCAATTAACAAGAAAATTTAGACAGTATGTCTGACAGACAAAAATGTAATGCATTGCATAGTATGTTCTACCAAAATCTGAAAAAACATGTTGCTTTTCTTAGCTCATAGGTTTGTTATGTAGGGAAAAATAGTTAATTTTTTCCCAATGCAGTACATTTTACCTTTTTTTACTTTACAGGTTCCCAAATTAATGTACCTGAAGCCTAATCGTGGTCCTGTGTCAGGGGGCACTATTGTCAACATCACTGGGAGCAATCTAGACGCAGGTAGCAATGTGTCCATCATGTTTAAAGACCAGAAGTGTATTTTTCACAGGTAAAGGTTGCCTTTGTTGCAAATTAATTCTTCTCTAAGTTTTGTTTACTTTCAGACCACATACAGTACTGTATTGAATCCATTATACCTCTTTCATGATGTTGTTCACTGTAATAAATCATCTGAGTGAACCGTATAAACCATGCGGTACATTTCTCTATACATCAGTCAGAACAAGGAACATGGAAATTATATTACTTTTGTGTGTGTTTGTTGGGAGGCATTCTGATGTGGTAGTGATAGTGAACTTTTTCTAGGAGCTGTTTAGTGCCTGCAACACCTTAACATTGATCGCTTTAATTTGGAATATATTAACCTGGCTGATTTCACATAAAACAAATGACCTCTTTCTTCATTTGTGTTAGAAGAATATTCTATTTCTGCCTGAGGGAGGCAGAACTACAGTATCATCTTTGGGTATTTATTTCATTAACAGGAGAGGTGCTCAGTGGATTACATGCAAATCCCAGGCCTCCCTTCATGGCTATGGGAATGTCACTGTGTCTGTACGAGTGGACCGAGCCGAGCTTCAGAAAGACTTGAGGTTTGAATATGTAGAGGACCCAATAATCACCAAGTTAGAACCAGAATGGAGCATCTTCAGGTAATACCGGGAATAGACAGTTGAATTCTCCAAGTGAGTTGTTGCTGGATTCGCTGAGGAAGTTTCCTACAAATATATGAAATTATCCTTAGTGGTGTTCTTTTGACTCAGTTAAGACTAGAGAATCGCTTATTACAGTTTTCTAAGCTGGCATACTTTAGTACATGGAAGGGTGCCATCCTAGCTGCTTAGAATTGAAGCGTCCCAGCAGTTTCTATTAATTGGACATGTGGTAAGACCTGGAGAAACGCATAAGATAAACTGGATGTTTTCATATGAGTTTCACTGATTAAATATCAACTGAACATAGCATTATAATTAAGAATATTTAAAATATAAGTTCTAAATCACTAGGAATAAACAACAAGCCTAATGAATAAATTACCTTTAAATCCTTGTGCTTCAGTGCCATTTGCTTCCCTCTTTTTTTGCCATGATCCAGCTGTATTTTCAAAACATTTCTTTTTTACCTGTTGTCTGGTTTGCACCATTAAACTTCTGAATTACTGTGAGGAAAGAGGAAGCCAAGCATACTCTGGAGCACTAATCTTTGACCTACCCATGTAATATGTTGGTTTCTTTCTCTTTGTTGGAATAATGCAGTGGTAATACACCAATAACAGTAACGGGAACGAATCTGGACATCATTCAAAACCCTCTAATCCGAGCCAAGTACAATGGAGTGGAGACTGTCAATGTAAGTATTGTTACTGGGAGCCTGGGAACCTAGAATGGCACATGGCTAAAACAGCTCAAGAAGGTTTTCAGGGTGAAGGAGCTCTGAAAAGCTATTGTTCAATGTGGAAAACCTACACAGGTCCTGGCACAGGGGTGGTAATGTTTTCCTGAAGAGAAATGAAATATAAAGCTAAAAGCTAAATATCAGGTGTACACTATTAAATTCCCAATGAAACAGATTTGAAAGGTATAGGAGCACGCCTAAGGAACATAAAAAGATTTTTCAAAGGATTCTGAACAATATTTAATTATTTCATATATCATATACTGATTCATCTTGACATACTGTAGTGGTATAAAAGTATCTAAATATTTTCCAAAAGGGATTCATCCCAAAATGTCCCATGGCAAATATTTTGGAAGATTGCATCTTTTATGGGTTCTACCAGTTAAAATGTTTAAAGATTATGAAATTAATCCTAACAAGAAACTGAAATAATTCACCAATTCACTGTGTTGAAAAGAAACACAAAAGACTGGAGCCTTCTGGTTTTACTGTGGGAGACTTCATATTGCCTAGTTTTCCTGTATTACAGTACTGTATGTATCTCAGACTCAGCCCTTTGTGTCTATGAAATATCGTTGAACACCACTTTATTTTTTCACTCAGTGGCTGATCTAGTGGCTTCAGCAGTTACTAGAAAGAGATCTAGGCTCTGTTCTCTATCAGTTTCTTCTCCTGCCTAAAATTAGTTGCTACCCCATTTCATTTATAGGGAATAGGAAACTAGACCAGCTAGATGATAGATGACTTCACTGGTGTCTGGGAAAGTACTTTAATCTTCTTCTGAAAACCTGGCTCAGTATCTTATCTGTTCTAACCTTGCACATTGAATATACGCAAACCATACTGTCAGTTTCAGATGAAGATTGCTCCCTGCTGTCTCTGTCGCGGATGCATGCAGGGAGTATCCAAAACCTAACTTTATGTTTTGGAAGTATGCTGCGATAGAGCACTTTGGGGTGTATGTGACTAACACAGTCTCAGATGTGACTGTATTGACTCTACTGATGAACCCATGACTGTTCCTGAAAACTGATGCCTCCCAGGTTACTGTCAATACTCAGGTACAAGGACATTTATATCCTGGGTCTAACTGCAACCAAAAATCTATTTTATGAGGCTGGGTAAAGACCAAACTTCTGTACCTTCTGTGGGTCACATCTTACATTATTTTACATTTTGCTAATGCAGTTATTGACTGAGTGGTCAGATGTTCTCGTTTTCAAAATTTGACTGTTCGACTTTTTTTTACTATTTTTTCTTGTCTTCTATTTGTCATGTGTCTTCTTCTTAAAATATGCTTTTAAAATGAAAAAAATCCAAAATGCGAATTCAATGTGTCATATTACATTTCAAGGTGTCTTGCTGCTGCAGTGAATGGATGGTCAAACATTATATTACAAACTTCTAATCATATTGATGTGTGTAAGCATTCTGAATTACATACAGATGTGTTCTGCAGTCACAACAATCTGCTTTTATCATACCTGAATTTATTTATAGATAGTCTTTCATTTTCATATTTCTGTATTTACTGGGAATATATCTTTATTTATTACAGCAACGTGTAAGAAGGCAAAAACAGTGCAAGCAAGAAGCCCAGGTGTTTCAGTGCTGTTGTGAGAGTTCATTTCTCCACATTGTCTGGGCATATACTATAAAGAATGGTACATGCAAAAGAAAGTAATTCCAGAGATGTTATTACAAAGATCTAAATTATAATTACCTTCAGCATCAATGTTCGATCTCATACGAAATACTTTATGCAGTTCGTAGCTCAATATCCTGAAAAGGATATGTTCCAGGAGAAATAATGCAGAGGCACATCAGGGTATGTGTTAGTACAGTACAGCTACATTTCAGGATACAAGAACATAAGGAAGTACATAAAAAACCTGTGAAAACATAGTAAAACAACTGAGAACCGTGAAAATAAAAGATTTCCTTCCACCAGTATCCTTCTAGAACATGTTAGTTATGGTATAAGGACCAATTCAAGCAAGTTGCAGTGAGCTAAATGTCCTGTCCTTCTTCAAGTTTCGTTAACTTAATGGTCAGTGTTTTACTACACTGTATTTTTTTTTTCTTATTCCAATTATAATCCCCCTTTCTGTTTCAGACATGCAAAATGCTCAGCTCAACATCAATGGTCTGCCAAGCTCCTGAGCTGGCTGTGAGTTCAAGTCACCAGGGTGAGGTTGTGGAGCGTCCGGATGAGTTTGGGTTTATTCTTGACAATGTCCAGTCAGTGCTGTCCTTGAACAGCACCAACTTCATCTATTATCCAAACCCTGTATTTGAGGTTTTAAGTCTCTCAGGAGTGTTGGAACTAAAACCTGGCTCACCCATCATACTGAAGGTATATTGAAACATTAGAAATCAAGACAACAGTGTGTGTGATAACAATGTTAATTTGCATTAGGTCATTTTTCCTCCTAAAATATAAGTAGATGTTCAATATAATATACTTACATCAGTGTGCGAAATATCAGAGACTGACACAAAAGGAATGCATAAGACTCCACTAATATATTGTGTTTGCTTCATTATTTTAATACTAGATTGTATTTGCAATCAGTGGTTTAAATTGTTTCTTATTGTTGTGTCATAGTTCTTTGTGAGCAGCACAGTGCAATCACAGTTATCGCAATTGCCTGAGGGCTCAAGGGTCCTGGGTTTAATTCCCCATTCATGCCTCTGTCAGTGTGGAGTTTTCAGCTTCTCCTCATGTTTACATGGCTTTTTACCTGGTGCTCCAGTTTCCTCCCACCTCCCAAGGACGTGTTAGATAGGTCTGATTGGCTCTTCTGAATTGCTCCTTTATCCTCAGCCCTGACTATGACTATGTTTCTCGAGTAAGGGGCTTACTGACAATGGATCAATATTTTCCTTCGTGGAAATACATAGCTTAGATAAGGAACAGAACAAACTAGAATTTTGTGACATTGCCTTTTTTATGTCAGGCATGACACTTCAATAACAATGGCCTCTGGTGTTTCCTTCTATAGTGGGTTCAGAACTCTTCTTTAAAAAAATGCTTTTGTTAGTGGGGATTCAGCTGAGGTGCTGTTCATTTGACTTCTTTTTATCATTGTGAAATACAGTATGTTACTGTAAGTCCCCAACTGTATGTCCAGGAAATCGCTAAGTGTTTGCTATGGAAAATAGTTCACATCACAATTATCCTTTTCCATTTTAGGGTAGGAATTTTCTGCCTCCAGCACCAGGGGGAAATGCCAAGCTAAACTACACTGTGCTGATTGGAGAAAAGCCCTGCACTTTAACAGTGTCTGACACCCAGCTCCTGTGTGAATCCCCCAACCTCACAGGACGGCACAAAGTTCTGGTGAGTGCTAATAGGCAAGCAGGTAACATTTTACTAGGTGTGAAGAGCTTCTTGTGCTTCTCCTTGTTTTTTTTTTTATTTATCCATGTTACAATGGCCTACTGCAGCATTAGAAACTACTGTATAACATCCTTTGCTACAATAAATGAAATAGCATGCAGCCAAACCAAAAGGATTTTAGTACTGAATCTTGATCATGAATAAATTTTTTGTAGGGCACACTCCACAGGATGTCAGAATAAAAATACAACAGGTGCTACTTTTGCTTGGTGTGGTTTACTGATTGGACTGGGGCTGTCAATGTGCCAGTTAGAGCTCTGCAGTGCCACCTGGAGAGTTGAATGATTCACAAGATTCACTATACCTTTTAATAAAAAGGTGCTTTTGCACCCACTAAACAAACTTGGCTCTACTGGGTTGAGATCATTACAGTTTATCCTTGCCCTTACTTCTTTACTTCGTTATGTTACTCTTTTCTTATTTTTTCCAACGGACTTATGGATAGGTAGCCCATTGTCCTCATCCAGGTGTTGATCATTGTAATGGTAAAGCTTGACTTTGTTTGCTCAGGCTCGGGTTGGTGGGATCGAGTTTTCGCCTGGTGTGGTTCACATTTCGTCTGACAGCCCGCTCAGCCACACAGCCATCATCAGCATCTCCAGTGCAGGAGGCCTCCTCATCATCTTCATCGTGGTGGTGCTCATTGCCTACAAGCGCAAGTCCCGTGAAAGTGATCTCACGCTGAAGCGCCTCCAGATGCAGATGGACAACCTTGAATCCAGGGTGGCTCTGGAGTGTAAAGAGGGTAAGTATCCCCTGCAGCAGGGCAGAGGTTTAGTGGTAACTTGGCACTTGAGGTGGTTAGCTGAAACACAGCTCTTCGGATGTTCAGATTCAGGATTTATTTGACTCTCGTACATTATATCGGGGTTCCCCATTTAATATGCAGATAAAATATAGACTCATTGAGTCTAAAGTGAGCTCAGAGACCTTCAGCAGAAAAAATCAGCAGACCTAAATTTCCCAGCCAGTGCCCAAGAAACCAAGCTGTGAGAAACCTTTCCGACACGAGAGTAACCCACAGTCTAGATGTCGGATTCCAATGCACGTTTTGCAAAGAAACATCTGGCAACTGGGTTTAACAACAGGCTGTAAATTTGACCTACAGTACCTTAAATGTGTCTGTTTCTTTTTTTCCTATTGTATCGTACCTCTTTGTGATAACATCTTTTGATTCTGACTTGTACCTACTCGTACTCTTATGAAAAATTAAAGATGGTGATGAACAGTTTATAGAGGCAATCGTCTACAGACTGCACAAGTCTTTATTCTTTTGGTTAGTCTGTCTGTGTTTTATAGCTTCACTAGACCGGATTTCTTTGTTGTATTTAATTATAGCAAAATAATATTACAGTTATATTTTTATAACAATTCTATTTCTGCTTGTTCGTACATACATATTCATCCTTTTTTTCTTTTCTTCCTCAGCATTTGCAGAGTTACAGACTGATATTCATGAACTAACTAGTGATTTGGATGGAGCTGGTATCCCATTCCTTGATTACCGTACCTACACTATGAGAGTTCTTTTCCCTGGAATTGAAGAGCATCCAGTTCTGAGGGACCTGGAGGTCAGGTTTTTATGTTTAGACATTCATTTTAAAATGTAAATATGCCAGATTCAACCAAATCTATACCCCTGGGGCAAAGAGCATTTAGCCGAAGGTTAATTATTATTTGGCATTGACAGTTCATTAGAGTAAATGCACTAACAGGAACAACAGGGCTTCCGTGAATAATTCCATTGTTGTTGCAATCTGATGCTGGATGACTTTCTGTTGATATTCAAGCTCAAACTCTTGGTTTCCTTTTCTCATTTCCTAAATGCATTATAATATTGTAGCACAAATAAAGTAGAAAAAATAGTGATCATAAATAGTGATCCTGAAGAAAGCACCTACGAAGTCTATACATAATTTAATGCATGGTGAAATACAAAACCTTCCATTCAGCATTGGTTTGACAAAGATAGATAACTAATACCTACATACAGTAGGTATGTTTTTTTTTTATTAATGCTTGCTGTTTATTGAATTCATTTGTCTACTCAGACAGCTACAACATGATTACAACAGATGCGCAAAATAGCAGGAATTAGAAATTGCAACAAACATTGTGGCATAAGTAGAGTAATTTTCCTTATTTTTGGGCCTCCACATTTTTAACATATTTAATGTGTTTTTAATTAACTACACTGTAGGGGTGTGCGTCTGAAAGTGTTGTAATTACATTTTTACCTTCAGGCTCTGTGCATAACATGATATCTTGAGCCATTTTTGTAGAATACTTAGGTAGAGGCTGTTTGGAAATTCACTTTCCTTCTTAATTAGAGACTTTAAAATCACAATGAGCTTCTTGTTAATAACTGAAATGACATGTGGCACAACTGTTTATGACACTGCCTTCAGTGCTAGATAGAAATCAAAGCCTTATTTTGTAAAAGTGACAACATTTCACAAATTATTATTTTTAATGAAATGATGGACATTGAAAATTCAATCCGATGCTGCAGCAATTTGCTAAATATAGTTTACCATTTTAGATGTAATAACTCTTTTATGGCAGCTATTAAAAGAATATTAATTTAATTAAATGAGTAGCTGCATGAAAGCCTAACGCGGAATTATATTTAAAAAGCCATGGCTGACTTGTTTCTTGCTGTCATTCGTAACAAATTATTATTGATGCAAAAGGAAACAGAGAGCACTGTGCTGCATGTGGATGAACTGGCAGTTTTATCACAAAAATAAACACAGGGGAAGGGATCTTTTGGATTCGTCGCTTTTGGTGCTTTTTAACAAATTTGTGTTCCAGTCTTATTCGTGCAATGAATATAAAAATACATTTACATTTAATATATGGATATTTTTTCCAAAAAAAGGCTTTTCCAAGAAGGAAGTACAGTTATTTTTCTGTTTTGGTTTGTTGTGCATCCCCATTTTTGTAGCAATGCTGGTATTGACGTCATCAAGGTCTTTCAGCCACACGGCTTTGAAAGACCATTTTGAAAGAAAATACAGTACAGAATCAAAAAGATCATAAAGTGGTTAAACAGGATAGGATTTTCAGCATAAGTTTTTACAATTCTGACAAATTTTCTATTTTACCCAACTTTTGTTCACTGCACTTAATTTTGGTTTGCCTACTTCCCATCCTTCAAAGCCACATTTGGGTAAGTTATTTTAAAACACAGGAGATGAGAAATTCAGTGATTTCTCGGAGATTGCTTAACACCTACAGTTTCTGAATTCAAATAGAAAACATTTATCACTTTCCCTGTTCGGCAAAGAACCTCTCTCTGCCAGTTTTGCCCTTCACTTCAGTATAATGCATTCATTTTGTCAGAACTGCTGTTTGAACATTGGAATTATACTGTATATCTTACAGATAACATGAATAGACAGATGGGCTTAACACAGAATGTTTATGTATAGTTAAAGTACTCTTTGTCTTTGACTTTGCAATGCAGTTATTGTTCTGTATAATGCATAAAATTAATATATACACCATATTTTACCTACCAAACCTGGACAAAAAGTCTTTCACAATGTTTAGGCAAGGGAGCAGTGTCATTGCATTTACAATGCAACATTTTAGGGCCTTTTAATTTGCAATGAGCATATACATGTAAAAGTAAAATAGACACTCATTGGATACTTCATGTGTTATGACATAAAATGCAGTACTGTACTGCATTTGCAATGTTCTTGCTATAGAATCAAATTAGTTTTTCTTAAACAGTGATTGCCCATTTCATACATTTTATTTCCCTCTTTTGGCTCTACAGTTAGAACTGAAATACATTAAATGCTGAGGGCATTCTTTCCCAGACATGAAACAGTTTTGATGAGCAAGTTATCTTTATATTTTTATATTCTCTGATCTCTTCTCCTGACAGCATGCCTCTGTGACCATCCACCCAAATACCATTCTAAAATATTTTAAGCACATCTCAGCAGGTTGGAAAAGTGGCTTGGGCTCTGTACTCTGGGCCAAAGGATCATGGTCCCAGCTCGTGAGGGCAGGCACCTGCTGTACCCTTGATCGAGTTACTACACACCCATTCATACTGATAATGATACTTTCCCACTTTTCCCAGACGATTTTTGTAAAAAATTGCTTAAATAAAGTATTAAAAAATCTCTACTTCCCTACTGTGAATTATTATTGGTGCCAACTCCTTTTTTTTTGTTCGTTTCAGGTTCCTGGATACAGACAGGAACAGGTAGAAAAGGGATTGAAACTGTTTGGGCAGCTCATCAACAACAAGGTGTTTCTGTTGTCATTCATCCGGACTCTTGAGTCTCAGCGCAGTTTCTCCATGAGGGACCGGGGAAATGTTGCCTCGCTGATCATGACAGTTCTGCAGAGTAAACTAGAGTATGCTACAGATGTGCTGAAGCAGCTGCTGTCAGACCTCATTGACAAAAACCTGGAGAGTAAAAACCATCCTAAACTACTGTTGAGGAGGTAAGGAATCATGTCTCAGTCAGCGTGTTGCAGTTCACTGCTCTACTAACCAAATGCAGTAAAGTTGTTGAAATTAGTTTTGAAGGACAAGAGTATTCAGACTGGGTTTCTCAGTATGCTGAGCCATTGTTATAATTCTCTCCTGTGTCCTTGATGTTCAGATTTACTTCTTACTGATTTTTACTGTGCAGAACCCAGTGGTGGAATTTTCTTCCACATGTATGGAGACAGCTGTCTTACCAATGAGCAAAATACTGTACATCGGTACACATTTTCCTCACAGATTCAGCGACAGAAGGCAATAAATCATCACTGAACGATTATCATCTCCTCTTGTGCCCTCCACTGTTTTTACTTCACAATCTAATCTAGCCTTTTGTTAATAATGCAACAAAAATCCACTATTTTGAAAAAGTTCAGAAGACAACAAGGTATATAAAAAACAAGAGGCTGAACTCCTTTTTTATGATTTCACACTAAATCTGTATGTGCTTATTAACTACGAAAGCTGGTTTCACAGTACCTTCCAGCCATCCTATCACCTCATTATATCTCACTGTAGTTCTTTCAGTTTTTCTACCTCCGGGGAGTAACGATTGACATCTTGCTAACATAGTGTTAACACATTACAATTCACGGAGGGTGTTTTTTTTTTCTTCCTACTCTTGATATGAGGGAAGGTAAATGAGTATACTGTAGTAGAAAGCAATTATTACAACCCTGGGTTTAAATGACAAGTAATCTCCGTTAAAAATAAACCCTTAGTAAGCTGCTGTTGTTTGAAATTAAAGCAATCATAGCAGGTTAAAGTTCTTTAATGTTTATTGACATTGTTGACACTGTTAAATGTAAACACTTGCAAATCCCTCAGTTGTGTTTAAATATATAGCTGTGCTCTGCAGAGTACAGGACTGTAAAAGCCCAAAATGTAAATGCCATTGCTTACTGGTTCAGTTTCCTCTTATGCTTCTCCTCCTAGCCAGGTGGTTGAGGCCAAAACTCTGACCTTCCTTGAGAAATGAAGGAACACACTTTAGATTCTGATCAAACAAACAAGATAAGACAAACAACCTCCACTTGACGGCAGCCTTTCTTATTTTCTTATGCTTTTATTTGCCTTGGAGTTCAAAACAAAGTTTAAGAGGGAGGACTAACACTCCTCCAAGCCCAGCTAAGATTAAATAAAGGACATAAAAAAATAAAGTATATATTGTATGTATAATGTATAGCATAGCATATAATATATACATTATATAATATGTAATGGTCAATAATGTATAGTATATATATATCAAATATATAAATAAAACATAATGTAACAAAACACCTTTCCTAGTGTTCATCACTGTGATCCCACCTTCCAACATTACCCCTGCAGCAGTTCCTCGGCTCAGTCCACCTAATGAGGGGGCTCCAAACTATTTTCCTTATGGTCAGATCGTTGCGCCCTTGGCCAAGCTGGTTAAAGCCAAATCAGCATCTCAATCACTTATAGACTAATTCTATAAAAACTAGGATATGGTCAAAACCATGTATTCTACTGTATTTCAGCTTTAGATGGTTTTAAATATGCAAATGGCCCTGTACTGAGAACTGGATATTGGGCAATTACTCTTAACACGGCACTCACTCAGCGCAGAACACCGTCAGCATTTCTCAATCTACATTAATTTGCAACTGTACAGAAAGTGTTTCTTGTGAAACTCTGATATGATTAGTCTTAAAAGGATTAAAAATAAAACATCTTGGAAATACATTAAGCTCCCTTATTTAACAAAGCATATAAGTGTCTATAATTGAAGCATTATAAAGTTACAATAGCAAATACTGTACCATTTACTGTATATCTTATATAATTTATATCTTATCATAACTTATATCTGAAGAATCCTGTCCTGTAGTATTTATCCTATGCCTTTAATGTTGAGGCCAGATGTACAGTATGCATTAGGAATCCCTGTTTTTTCAAGAAACAGGATCTCCCAAATGATATTTCAGTTCACTTTTTTATTCAGCCTTTTTTAGCAGGGCAGCCACAGCACTCCCCAGAGGATCCATCCTTCCTTAGCCCCTTCCCCTTGTACTGCTTGCGACATAATGACACACTAAATTGCTCCTTATTACTCTGTCTTCTGAAGGTTGAAATTTGCATAGACTCAATAGACATGGTAATGCAATGTGGCACCTCCTAGACAACCGATGAGGAGCATATTCCATTCATTAGAAGTGATTTAATGACACCTTAGATGAAAGTGATTATTAGAGTTTGGTATAGCAGAATTAATCGGGTCCTGCAGTCTTTTGGAATTGTAAGCATGGACTGGAGTGACAAGGCTTGTTGTGGCAGGGAATGTTATCAGATGACGATTACATGGAAGAAGACAACAACCAAGTATGCCAGCTATGTTTTAGGGAGCATAGGGAGAACTTGGTGCAGTATAATGGATGTACAATTAATCCATGATTACCCCCTTTGTGTTTGGTGATAACGGTATGTTTACGTACTATGGCTAATAGTAAAACTAAACTAGTTTTAATGTAATCTTACTCCAGGATAGAATTAATTTTGATTTATCAGCAACTCCAAAATCTGGATAATGTCCACATTCTGAAATGATTTTATGTTACATTTTTGTCATTAAAACTACAATTTGTTTATATGGAAAAATTCCCCAAAAACTGTTTACAATAGAATTTTGAACAAAGTGTAATTCAGTATGATTATGTAACTCAAGCTGGAATGCACTTATTTAATGTAAAATGTGATGTTGACAGTTAATTGTGGTCTATTTAAAAAACAAATGGAATTAGAAATGTAATCACTTCTTACAGTAATTAAGACCGCTGGTTTTAGAGGGCATTAGGGGTACAAGAGATTTGTAAGAAACACTCAACTCTCCCTTGCAAGGGCCTCTGTCACGTATGGAAATAGCTGAATTCTTTAATTGTTGCACAACATCTCTCCGTGTTGCCATCATGAATTGTTCCCTGTATTATGACTGCTTCACTTGCATACTGTTCAGTTGTCTTACAGTTAATTAGTAAAGGTTTGAAGTAATTTAGTCTTTCAGATTATAAAAAGTTAAACATTTATTTTTGGAACATATGAAATGGAAATCAAGAACAACAAATGTATTACTCTGCTGTGCTTTATAAAAGGACAGTATTTAGCAGAAGGATTTTGATGTTTGCTACCATTACGACAGTACTTAGTTCAACTAACACACTAGAAATAATGAAAGTATGCACGTGTAAAAGTTCTTCAGTCAGATTCCTCTAATATATATTTCAGTTGTTTTAACCTTTTATAATTTATCTGCTTTGGCAAATACTGTTTTTTTTTCACACATTATACAGTTTTGCATTTATTACATATTTGTTACACATCCCAGTTAAAATATAATAAACATGTTCACTGTATATATGGTACATACTGTATGTACAAGGTCAAGTAAATAATACCATGAGAAAAGTGAAAAGAACAAGTAAAATAAAACATTTCAACTTTGCAACCTTTTTCAGGTGTGTGCTGGAGAGGAAGAGAATGGACATAGTTTTGTGCTTTGCTCTTTCCTTTCTGCTTTTCAACACTGAACAAACCTCTTCTTGTTCCTCTGTGGCCCACATGCTGATGCAGATACCCACTTGAATCTCTTATGAATAGAAAGCCTAAAAGCATTTTGCTCCATAGGAGTATTTGCTCCACTTACTGTATATCATACATGCTCTATATACAGTACAATACATTGCATTCCAGTTTATGGTGACATAGCTAACTGTGTGCCACAGTGTTTCTGTATACAAGTTCATCTGACTCTGTTTTCTTACAGAATGTGCTAATAAAAGTTTGAATACACTGCCTTATGCTGTATATATATCTAAAATTGGTCGTCTCACCTTTTTCAGTGGTGCTCATTTTATTCAGGCAGTGTATAAGAAAAAAGGAAAACAAAAACAGCACTAAAAACCAGCTTTCAAATAATGCAATTTGAAGACAATGAAATGTTTAGCGTGGAATTGGAAAGCTTGTGGTGAGTGACAGTGCACTGAGACAGCAAGTGTGTCTGGTGGAGGTTAGAGATTTGCATGTTCGACTGAAATGCATGTTCCCTGCCGAGTACCAATGAAGCAGAACCCTCTGATATTATGACTGAACATGAATTCCCTGTTGTGGCACAGAGTTCCTGAATTTGAATGAAGGTGGTTGCTCATTCTTCTGAATTCTGTACCATCCCAGCTTGAATTTTAACCCGTTTATTTGAAGTGTTGTCATAGCAGAGGAGGAGAAAGCTCTGTGTGTTGGAAGGCTAGCCCAGAAACATTTAGGAAAAATTGCAAAATAGCTATCAAATTGTAATTCAATGACTTTACGTAAACAAATAGACATCCCCATTTAAAAACTGTTGGAAACATAATTGCTTTTTTGTCTTTTTTTTCTAAAATCATCTTCCATTCCAGGTTCCAAGAAGCATTCATTCTTGGGACCCATCTGGCCTTATTCCATTAGCAATGTAAAACGGAACCCAGCTAACCACTTCTGCCAGAGCCATCTGTCATATTTATGTAGCAAACTCACTATGAGTTTACACTACCCTCCTACCCTGTTGAATAAATAATACTTCTTAAAAAATGAAAATCGAGTCTTTTAATGTGTCTGTCAACATCTAGTGCTTGTGACAGATGTAAGTTAGTTTGTATTGTATCAGGGGACAATTATGTTGGCAGATCTGTTTTGCTGATTTCTTACTTGAAATTACTTGTATTTAAAACCAAATGTACTTTTTCAATAGGCATGTGCTAAAAGTGTGCTACAGTTTGGTGGCAATATTTTGGTGTGGTACAGTATATATACAGTATGTGATATATCCACATTTACTGTTTGTGGATATACCAACATTTATTTTTTTCATTTATTGAAGAAATTCGTTTCATTAATCAAAGGCAACATGTTTTCTTCTGCAACACTGATGAGAGGTGTCACATAGTCAGCAGTTAATATTACAGTCTTTACAGAGCTTGTAAATTTAGACATTTACACAATTATTTAGAAGTTGTGAACTGTAATTGCAGGGATGCTAAGGGTGCCAAAAATGAAATACAGATGCAGCCATTCAAACTTTGCGGTACAAACCCATACCACCCGCAACTACCCACAAGCCACCACGGCGATAAAGGTGGTAGGCGGCGATATCACCTTTATGATAAAGGTGGTAGGTTGTGTAGTTTTGTCCAACTGAGCAATCTTGCTTTCATAAAATATACCAACTTTTTTAATGTATAATGACTAACATGCTGTAATACACAGTTTAAATTTAAAAGTCTAAAGAGTATACATCTTAAATTCTTAATTGAATAAAGATTGTCTCTCAGCAGTGATCAGGATTCGAAACCGGGTGTTTTCTGGTGACAGCTCAAATGCTGTACATGAGAGGTTAAGCTTTATTAGCTCCACCTGGCGGTTTTAAAAGGTGATACCGGATACTTTTAATATAATCTAATTTGCATACGGTAAAATGTGGTATGACATGAAATGACAATATGACACGTTTTGATGTGATACGCCCATTGCGTTGTACTGCAGCGTATCCCGCTCATTTTGAATGGCTGCATTTGTATATTATGCTTCTAACTCCAGACGGTAACTTTGATGAAATTTACAAAAGTTTTACATTGAAAGATTAACAACGCACTTAAGCCTGGTGTACGAACTTGAACAAAATAATATGTATTGTTTTCTTTCAGTACTTCAGTGTTAAATGCTGCTATAGCACCTCTGTTTAACTGCCATGGTATCTGGATTGCTGTCATTCAAGTACACTGATATTTAATCCAACAGATATTTAGGGAAAAAGGCATATAGAAACCATGAAAAAATATTTATGAAGGTTAAACTTAATTCCTCAAACCTTTTATGCTACAAAGTAGTCAAATTATACTACTTTTTACGTAAATTAGTGTTCACATTATTTGGTAAAACTCAAGTACATACTGTAGTTGTGAAGATGTATGACTAGTAAAGTGCTTTATGAAGTGTGCAGAACATAATACCCTTTTTCAATCCTCTGTCTGGGAACCACAGGGTATATTTTGTTGAGGATTAAATTGCATTTAATCAGGAGGAACTACTGTAAGTTCCAAATTTCTTGATCCTCAAATGTGGAGCAAGAGCAGCATTTGTGCCCTCCTTCTCCTGAATCAGTGCCAATGGGCATCTTTAGATTAAATCATCTGATGCTAATCCTTTATCTTTCCCCTTTAGCCATAGTTTAAATGAGGATGAGAATGATACAAGCTTTGCCAAATGCATAATTACAGAGGTTTAGAGACGCATGGTAAAAGCTTAATTGTAGAATCAAAAAAGAATAGGGCAGTAGTTTAATTTATTTTTTTTTTCAGAATTGTAGACTTAATTATTACATATATCAAAAAGACAACATGTGCATAACTTGACTATCTCTGCAGGTGCACACAAAATTGCTTAAAATGTAAGAAAACAAGATACCCCTGCATACCACAAAACATAAATTGTGAATATGCACAATTCATATTTTATTTTAGAAAGACAGGAAAGCTGACAATTCAGTCTGAGACCTTCATAAAGACATGTTCCTAATTAACCACTAATCTGTATTCTCAACAAATAAATTAATAACACTTTTAATCAGTCAACTTTAATCAAAAATGCATGTATAGTGTATATACAAACATGAAATGATTAGCAAACTTCAGATCCTTGACTGTCTTATAGTCTCCAGGCATTTGGAAATCTGTTGGGTTTGGAGAAAAGTAACTTCTTTATGATCAACTTGTGTATTTTCATATAGCTGGAGACAGACCAATATATATAATTGCAAATTAACCGATTAAAAGTGTTACGACTTCAGTGAAAACACTTTGAGAATACTGATTAGCAGGTAATTAGGTACCGTTTGTAAGTGGGCTAAACAGTTGGTTTGTGAATTCGGTGCTCTCATTAACGTCTCTGACAGAAGCATCACCCTTATTTTCAATCTATAATAAAATGTGAGTTCTGCATATGTCAGCGTTCGTGATTTTATCCTTTTTTCAGAACCAAGGCATAGTATTTTGAATGTAACATGTTCAGAACGGTATAGATGAGAACAAAAAAAGAGAACTTGAATTTGCACTGAATGCTGAAAGCAACCATTTCTGACCTCCAGCTTCAGCGGTCGGAAATCATGAAAAGAAAGCTGATACATTCCAGGTGTTATGCCAGCTCATTGGCATAGGGTTTCTTCCACTGTCTCCCATTGGCAGTACGGCTTACAGAGAGTAAAGACTTTAAATGTAAATCTACAGATGGTAATCTGGGTGCAGTCTCTCACCACCAGCACATTGGAAAGACTCTGGAGTGACTCTAAAATATTTATAGTCTTAACAGTAATTTACTATGGTGACTTTTATCAGATTTTTTTTTAAAGACGAACATTACAATTAGTGAACGCATTTCTTTCTTTGCTTACATTAAAAAGATAATTATGTAAATTGCTGTACAGAATCAGTACTTATCTCACTGAAAAGTAATTTATGCTGGCTGATATGACAGGAAAAATAGTTACACATTCTATACACATTCACATTTTTATGAATCATGATAGATTGTTCAAGTTCATTTCTAGCAGAATTATGGAGATCACTGTGTTACACTGTGTAAGTGAATAATGAATAGGATTGTTTTATCAGAGCCACAGGTGAAAGGGCAACGCTTTTAATTACATCAATTCAGTTGGATCTTGTAGGGTTTAATTTCATTTCTACATTGTATTAATCCCAGCAATTATATGCTTTGAGAATTTCTAATCAAGGTGCTCCAGTAACAAACGCAAGATCAGAAGGATTCTCTGTGCTGCTTAACTGTATTTCTCAAAGCCTAATACAGATATTTACTCCTTTTGTTTGTTTTAGGACTGAGTCTGTTGCTGAGAAAATGCTAACCAACTGGTTTACTTTCCTGTTGTACAAGTTCCTAAAGGTAAACTGTTTATTTTATTTTTTTATAATAACAGTTTCTTTATCCATACTTTTTGGTGTCTTCATTATTGATTAATTCAATAATGGTCATTCCTTGGTGATCCCCTTATTTTTTTGTGATAAGAGGGGTGGGAGAAAATCTAAATATATACTGTACATGAAATGTATGTATTTGCATGAACCATTGCCGTTAAAGCTTTTCTGATATATGGTATTTACAGGTATATGTAACACAGCTTTATCATTTAAAGGTATAAATACTTATTTTATAACCACTCTTGGCAAACAGATGGAAGAATAGCTTTGTTAACACAAAGCAAATGTAAAGTTTTGGGTAATTTGTAAGACAGATACATGTTAATATTTACACCCTCTATTGGAAAAACAACAGCGTAGTTAAAACATTACTGTTAAAAACTTTCCTATTTTCCTGTGGTGAGTACATTTATAGAATAAAGCACCACCTCATACTGAGCATGTTTGTTTTTTAAGAAATTTGTACAAAACTTGTTTTAGCATGCAGTTAGGATATGCTCTGAGTCTCTTCAGAAATACTCTTGAAGTGATAAGACTTTAGGTGAAAATTGGTATTCCGTGTCCTTTTAAAATGACTAATCACCTGTAACATCGGTGAAATTAGCTTTGTGCTCTAGCTCCATACCTACAGATTCCTGTCTGTCAGTGAGCACTGAATCTTCAGAAAGTGTAACAGCAATAAAGGACTCTCCACCATCCTGCCTCTATAATAGCCCTTTTTCCACTCAGTTGCCTTTCCTCTTGCCACAGTCCAAAAGCCAGCCTGATAAGAGTGAATAGACAGGTACAAAGAAGCAATATGTGGATAGGAGATAAGCTAATTAAGCAGCAGACAGGTGTAGGAGCTGAGGAAAGGCCACATTTCTTCAGATTATTGACTTGTTTTCTTTTAGGTTTTACACAGGGGGAAGCTGGCCTTTTACAGTTTTTAATTTAGCTTCTGAAAGGTTGGAGGGCAACAGAAGTAAAGGAGAGAATTGTTTTTATCCGATCTCAATAATGACAGGATATTGAGCAGTAAGAATAAGAAGAAGAACAATTATTGAATAAGATAAATCAGTTGAGAATAAATTCTTGTTTTCAAAGATAATCTGGCCAAAACGCTTGTGTGATTGTTACTCTGAAAACATTGAGGTGAATGAAAGGAAAGAAAATCAGAAAATGTGAATAATGCCAAGGCACTTTGAGTGTCAACAAGTGCAAGTATCAAGCAGAGAACATGTAAGCTTTGAATGGAACACAACTTTAAAGGGAGATATGCAAAGTTTTTATTTTATTTTTGCAGATTATTGCAGATTCTGGCAGTTGAATAGTGTTGAAGTTGAACCCTCTTAGGGGGTTCAAAAACAATGAAAATAAAAATGCTACAACTTTGATTGGAAGATGGCACCAATTCCTAAGCTGTTTTCCCAATTAAAAGGAAATTGCAGTCCTAATTTCTCAGAGTGATTATTTAATCTTGGTAACAAAATAATTTAATTGACAATATAGCAACATTTTACAAATTCCAAATGACATGTAAACAAAATTGTGAACTTTGTGAAAATACAGTATAGTTGTCATGTTTTCGAGAGTTTGCGAGAATTGTAATTCTTTTTCTTACTAGTCACTGTAATGACTAATGTCATGCAATGTGTGAGTGAATAAGTACAGGTTGTGCAGCAGACAATTCACTACAGAAATATAACAATGTGATCTGCATGCAGAGTTAACAAGCAACCTTGAAGATGAGAGCTATATTTCTCTATATTTATTGGATTAAAAGAGATGTATTCACATTGTTTAAAGAATAATAGGGGTACTCCATGGCACCAAAAGATTTGTTGCCTCATTCTTAATCTCATACAATGACGGCATAATGGCGCTGTACATACTGTACTGTACCTGGAAATTTTGTCTGTTTTGTGATGTAAATTAGAGGTTTTACATGTTACTGTGTACATTTTACTTTTGTTGTGGTTTCAATGCCGATTCTTTCTAACCCTAAAATATAAAAATAACGTTGCACTTCCTCTTTAAAGACCTGTTAATTAACTTATACAGTGAAGCACTTATCTAGCATGCAGAGTGCCAATCAAATCAAAGCTTAAAAATCACTATGATGGATAAATTGAATTAAAGGCAGCAGCAATATTATATAAGAATCGTATTATTTTATATACTCAGTATTAAACCAAGATGTTTTCATTTTTTTAATTGGTTAGAATTGTATCTCTTCTATAAAAAGCGAAAAATGCCTATCATACATTCTGATATGTCCTGTCTCCCTTTATTAATGTTAGATTAAAAATCAAAGTAGCATTTCAAATGCCCTCACTCCCCACTCCCATTTGCATTGGCAAATTCTAGCATGAGCTTGCTGCTGCCAAAAACTGATGTGAGCTGAGGGGAATGAAGGCAGACGACCGTCTACTGGCAGCCCTGTCCTGAAGGACTGAACTAACACAACAGTCTCCCTCTGCCCTTATTGAGCATCAATCCAGACAGGATTGCAACTTGATTAAAAAAAACCTTTAGATCAGTGGGGATGCTAGTGTTGTGTTTTCCCTGTGTACCCTGCCAAGATATACAGTAGTCCCGTATTTCTCATGTGATGAATCACATGATGTGTTAGTTTAGTGGGTAGGCTTAACAGGAACCTGTGCTCTATTTTTAACTCAGCACCCTCTTTCCTGAGTTTTTATTTCAACTCTTTAAAAGGTCTTACATTCAATGGAATTCAATGGAATTCCAGGTGCTTGTAATTGTAATTCAAAGGGTTTATACTCAGGTGATGGAGACTTATGTAGACCTTTTTCTTCTACATTATAAATAAGAAAATGGAACTGAAACTCAAGCAACAACAAAATGCATACACATAAGTGTAGCTTGTTCTAGCATTTTATAATGTGTTTCCATGTAGGTCTTTCAGATCTACTGTATATTTTTGGGAACACACTAAAAATTACATTACTTCACAGTAGTAGTAGGATTGTAGGCAAAACAACGTATTGTTTATATATATATATGCGTATTTGATGAAGCGCTAAAATACAGTGTGAAAAATCAAACATAACATATCCCAAGATACAGCTCAGAACATATTAGTTTGTTTAGAAATCTAAAAACAAATCCAAGATGAGAAGGACATAATCATTTTGGAGATTAATACCACTCTTTGACCTGTATTTCTACTGTAGTTTTATTTATCTTTTGTCCATTAGTTTGTTTGCTATATTATGAGTTCATAGTACAAAGATGACCTTGTTCTGAAATTGAAATGTGGTCCACTTTCAGAGATATTCTGTGAGTAAGTGTTGTAGGGCATAAAATCAATTCTATAGTACAGTATGAAAGGGATGACATTGAGGTTCTGTGTATAATGAGATGAGTATGCTTTTCCAACTCTAACATGAAGTCGCACGTAGAAGTTTATAAAACCCTGAAAAATTTATGAGGAAAAGGAGGGAGGAAAGGGTTAGTGAAGGTCATTTTCTTTAATGTGTCCATTGAGCCCAGTGAAATAAATTAATGCCTAAATTATGTATGCTTATTGTGGAGTAATCCTGTAAAATTGATATTGTGTTGAAGTATCTATGTGGGAACATGATTTCATTAAAATAAATCTGCTTTCATAAATTTGTTTAGCACTAGTCTACATCTGCATAATATTAATTTCAATAAGAAAATCCTGGATTAGTGGTAATTAGGGTATGTGAAGACATCAGAAATTGTCTTTGGCTATGCGTGGTGATATGAATAGCAGATGAAGATTTATCTACAATCTTGAATTGTATTATTATTAATGTAAAGCAGGGTTTAGATTTAATTTCAGAAGTTAACGGAAATCTTTACTTGCTACACAGGAATGTGCAGGAGAGCCTCTGTTCTCACTGTTCTGCGCCATCAAACAGCAGATGGAGAAAGGACCCATTGACTCTATCACTGGTGAGGCTCGCTATTCACTCAGCGAAGACAAGCTCATCAGACAGCAAATAGACTACAAGACACTGGTAAGTTCAGAGGTCTGGGGACATACAAGACACCTTACTGCAGCATTTCATGCGTCACGGGAAATGGGCACGAAGTGATGTTAAATGGGTGGTGTTGCCCAAGTGGCTTTTGAACTGTTTTCTGCAACCATCCACATACAGTACATTTTTACACTGACATGCAGAAAAACAAATCCAAAAATGTACATATACAGAAAGAAAAACACATAGAAAAAGGAGTTTTATGTGCGAACTGTTTCAACTACATAAGCAGTATTTTGTAGTAGGAAAAAAGCTTAGGGTTAGTTAATTAAGTTTAGTTTCCTTAATTAAAAGAAAAGTTCATACTTAGGGTTTTAGATTTCAGAATTTTTACTTAAATTACAATGCCGGCTGCATATTGAATCGTAGCAGTAAGTAGTCCAAAAATATTGTATACAAACTATAAATTACTTCGTACACCTGTATAAGGATGTTTTGTTAGTGTTGGGTTTTTTTTTCTATTTGAAATTAGCAGTTAGAAAACATAGACAATTTCACACCCCTATTCCCTGCAGAATCTATGTATTCTGTACACCATGTTTTAAATGATGACCCAAGGGTGACTGGACCAAAAAATAGAGAAAAGTCATAAGTGAATGTGTGATGACACATTACAGTTTGTGCCGTGGTGAATAAAGTGATATGATAATATGGGAAAGATGGGCAAAGAAGGGCCAAGTGCTTTACAAATACAGAAACTTCCATTCAACTTAAATAGAAAAATCAAACACGATATTTCTGTGAATTTAAGGTACTCCTGTATTTAAGTAGCATGTGAGTATCTCAGAGAGTTTTTTGCTAGAGCAACGGAAACGCTCTTTGTTGTAGACAGCGTTTAAACAGCTGCCTGATAGCCGCTAAAATTATTAGGTGCTCTTGTGCATTCAGTTTGTGAAGTGCGGTCTAGACTTCAGAGTGTTCCATCTCCCTTATTTTCTTCCCCTAAGTGCTTTGTCATGTAGATTGTCTTTTCCCTTGGAATATATAATCTCCTCAATGATGACTAGGATGATGAAAACTCGTTCATTTTATGACAATTTAATTATCACCTCATGAGATAATTCGTTCTAATGACTGGCCAGTGCTGCCTTTGCCTTAGGAGGCAGGTTGCCAAAATGGCTGTGATTAGAATGATGGCTGGGGAGAGTGACAGAGCTGCCACTCTAGGATATCATTAGCACATGTTTTGTCTTCTTTGAATAAAGATTTATCGTTACCGTCGTCAGTTGCGATTCCAGTTTAAAGTACATATATTAAGTGCAAAGGAACAAGTAATAGGTTTATCCCATGCTGAAAAGAGAAGAAAGAAAACACAACGTTTCGGCCGTGGAGCCTTCTTCAGGCATACATATATGAAGTGTATGGAGAACATTGAAAAAACAAGACAAAATATCCTAATTGAACTTTAGTTTATGAAATGTATGAACTGCAGTCTGGTTGAACAAAATAAGGGCGACATGACGATGCCGAGGTTAGAATGGCTGCCTTGCAGTGCTGGGGCCCTGGATTCAATTCTGGACCTGGGGTACTATCTGTGTGGACTTTGTATGTTCTCCCCATGTTTGCGTAGCTTTTCACCGGGTGCTCTGGTTTCCCACGACAGACCAAAGACGTACTGGTAGGCTAATTGGCTTCTAGGAAAACTGGCTTACGTGTGAGTGTTTGCGTGTTTGTGCCTGTATGTGCCTTGCGATGGAGAGGCATCCCCTCCAGGACGTATCCCACCTTGCACCTGCTGCTTGCCTGGATAGGCTTTGGGTCCCCATGTGATGAAGCGGTTAGAAAATGAACAAAGTAACAAAAAGGCAATATCCTTCATTTGCATTTAACTCACGTTTTGTCCATTACTTAGATCATTATCAGACAATTAATAAGAAGTCTGTGTCTTCATTTTGTTCCTTCATTTATTTCAAGTATTACAAACAAAGCAATGAACACATACTAGATAGTAAAACTCTTATGATTGGTTAAGTATTGTGTCAAATCATCCCCTACCCACTGGGAAAATTAGTCTAGATCCATTTCACTGTGCCTTGTACCTCAGCTTTTCATAATTGAGTGGTGTTCATCCTTTGGGGTTACAACATTTTCTCTCAACTTCAATTATCAATGTTGAGAATGATCAAACTTGAGAAAAGTTTGTTAGAACATCTGACTGTCTGAATGTGAGAGTAAGATCCAGGCCTGAACCTCTCCTGGGTTATGCTTGGCTTACTGATATGAGGAGTTATTTTTTGTGTTGAGGCTGAACTGATACTCTATGATTTTTTACTGTATCCCACAGATATTGAACTGTCTAAACCCTGATAATGAGAAGAGTCCGGAGATCCCAGTGAAAGTCCTGAACTGCGACACTATTACCCAAGTCAAAGAGAAGATTCTTGATGCGATTTACAAGAATGTTCCCTATTCACATAGGCCAAAAGCTTCAGACATGGACCTAGGTAAAAAGTTTAAAAACCTTTCATTAAAATTGTCTCCAGTTCATTATGTGATGTCATCAAATCGAATTGGTTTTTATCTTTGATTATGTTATCCTGATTTTATCCACTCCAAGAAACCTGAATTTAACTGAAATGCGACTAGGTGTTACCTTATTAAAATGTGATGACAATAGACTATTAATGTTTCCTAATTTTATGACAATCTGAGAGTTCAGAAGATGGAATATTTGAATGAAAAGGTTTGTAGCAAAATGATAACAAAACATGCCTTTGATGCATTGTATTTTGAGCCTATTAATACTGTACATGTTGGTACAAGTTAGAACCTTGTGGAGACTTGTTCTGTCTTTTCGTTGTTTCAGTAAGATCTGTTGAGGAAAATTAATACATTTCATTGCCTAGGTTAAATTTATGTGTCTTGAATACAGAAATATGGAACCATTTCTGTAGCCACAAAGATAAAAAAAACATTACCCACAGGGGACTAAAAAAAAGCTAACCTTTTGAAGAACACCACTTTCAGAAGCCAGTAAAATCACAGCAGGGAGTGGGAAAATGTGTATTAACCCAAGACATCTAACCTCATCCAAGTATTCAGGACAACTTAGAAGACTGTTTTTATGTTTTAAGTAAAGAATCGGTTCTTTTTTTACAGATATTGGTGCATTATCCATAACTGAATTTACCATTTAAATGAATACATACAATTTATGCATATAGTACAGTTTTAAAACAGAATTTGAAACTCATTACAATTATATCTATACTTCTGAAGAGATTAAAGTTTTTGATAGGTGGGTTTTTTAGACTAATAAATCAAGTGTGCTTTTTTACAATAGTGGTTTCGATAATAACATTTATACCACTATACAGAGTTTTGATAGGCTTTCCATCGGGAGCACCTTATAGATAAGTGAAGTAATTGTTTTAGCTTTGACAGTTGTGTTATAAAATTGTTTTATAGGCCCCTAGCTATGTGCTGTTTTATTATTGAGAATTGTTTTGTCTGGAATAATGTCTGCAGTTGCAGCCCTAAAGGTTTAGGATTTGTGTAGAGTAAGACAAAATAAACAATATAATACTTTGCTCTATGAGAGGGATCTTTGCATTCAATAAATGGAGCTCCAGTCTCCAGAGTTCAAATTCAATACAGGTCCAGATTGCAAGGGCAGATAAGGATAATGGGATTTTACCAACTTCTATCTTCCAGGCAGTCATGGAACAAATTGGATTGGAGTGTTTCTGTCCTTTGTTTTTATTCTTTAGTGAAATCTCAGAGGTGTGATGAGAGGGGACAGTAGGTGAGGGCAATGCCAGTGATTTTCACTTTCTGATATCACACTGAATACCAGGGTCACCTTTCCTGTAGGAATATTCAGTCATTGTTATCTCTTCCAAATCACACCCTGCTCCTGATATCACAGTTTAATATACCTGAGATTACAACTTTGTAATGTGAAAAAAGTGTGTCTTAATGTGTGATTTTCGTTTTTTTTGGAAGAGATCTCTGTGCACTTGGATTTTTCTTCATATCTGTTTTACACTTTGTCGTAAAGTGAGCTGCACTGATGGAACATTATTCAATTCATTGGAGTAATCTTGATCATCAGTTGTAAAAGCACAAGATAATCTTCAGTCCTGACAGTGCTCTTATAGACCTAATTTGACATGCTGATACATAACCCACCTAAGTGCTACATGGATATGGCATTTTAACTGCAAAGATTGAAGGTCTGCATGACAGTGGATAGTTAGCACACTCTTCTTACCTCTGTAATCTGTCACCAGCACAAAATTAGCCTTGTATTAATTGCTAAACAGACACATTTTTGTTATGGATTTTTAAACCACATCTTTGTGTTCATTCTGCATCATATGTGACAGATAACACCAATATTTTAATTTTTCAATTATTTGTTCAATGTGAATTTCACAATTTGTTTCCATTTTCAATCAGTTTTTAATTTTCTTATGCTTGACTCAAGTTGCTCCTTCAAGGGCTGTTTCAAAAGTATGAATTTAGCCCTTCATGCTAGAACGTCGTTTAAGTCCTATAAAGCATGTGAATGTAAGTTTGCGTCTTTTTAACATGAGTGTATGTTTACCCTTTAATAAACCACAGCCCTTACAGAGATTCACAGCTCTTCATTTTAAGCAAAGTTAAATTGTCAAAAGATGGTACACAAGCTTGTACCACCTTCTGACAGTCATTGTGTAATATGTTCGCTGGGCAAGTAAAAAAAAAAATGTGTCTCTCTTTTGAAAACTACCAGCAGCTTCCAAGATGGCATTTCTGATTAGACAAACATCTAAATATGATCTCGCCAAATAGAAGGGCGATACTTGATTTTCCTGTATTTCATAACATTTTTTCAATCTGGAAGAAAATAGGACCAGTAGTTTCATCTTCTACAGTACCTGCAGTTTTCAACCTGTATTACTCAAAAGTTTGAATGTTTTCCACACAGAGTGGCGCCAAGGAAGGGGATCGCGGCTTATTCTCCAAGATGAAGATGTGACTACTAAGATTGAGAATGACTGGAAGAGGCTGAATATGTTGGCACATTATCAGGTGAGCCCAGCTGTCTGAGAAACAGACCATAGGCTACTATCTGTAGCCTGTCTTAGAAGCACTCACTCTTTTTCACCTGATATCATTTGTAACCTCTAGTGTCTGAGATGCACTGTTTTTACTTGTTTCAGTAATCCATTGATCCCCATGGTTGGTGTTGTCTGTTGTCTGTGTTCATGTGTGTTTCTGTTTTAACAAGTCCTTTCAAAAGTAATATCGAAAAAAAATAGTTACTGGTCAAGGTATATTCTTTACCTGAGATATTTAGTAGGCTGTGATATATTTTTTCTGAACGCAAGATAATTTTAGAAATTATTAAAAGTCTATTGATTCAAAACATTGAGCGAGTTCTGAGGGCAAAGCTCTCAATTCAAATCACAGCTTATACCACCTTCTGAGAGTCAGTACGACTAAAAGAAACCAAATCCGCGTAGACTTCTCTTTCGGTATTCTTGGCATCATTACGTTAAATAGTTACTCATAGGTTTTTGAGTGTCAGTACCCTATTTATTTGATGCTCCTGTATTTGAAAGTGAGCATCAGTCTATTTTAATTATTATAACAAATATAAATAATGACCATTCATAACAGAAGCCTATTTGTCTTATTTTGAAAATTATGTTTATGTTTATTTAGAGATTACAGGGGAACAATGACTAAATATCTTTTGAAGTTCACTTGCTTTAACACATAACACTACTATTAATGCATCTTTTGTTAATTAAAATTGTGTATGAGAAGAACAGGATATTTTATTGCACGAGAAGATTGTGTAATCATCCAAGGAAACACTGAAGAGAACACTCGCAAGAGTTGAGTGTATGACTTTAAGCATTCATAAATCACCAAAAAAAGGTGATGGAGCTTAGTCTAAGCTAGAAATCCACCTTTATCCAAGTACCTTTTCTAGGGCTTCACTTGTGCTTTTGTGTGCCCTCCAAAGTCTTACCTCATAACCCTGTGACATTTTAATAGATTTTGCAGCTCCAAAGCTTCCAGAAGCATTTAAAGAAGGGAAATGAATGATAGGGACCAGCAAGTTAACAGGACAGAGGAGAGCTGATAAACAAAGTAAATTAAGGCAGAGAGATGACCAAAGCATAGGAGGCCAAACACACTGTCAGACTGTCAGACAGTAAGATAAGACTGACTTGTCATTCAGGTGTCAATCAGCCACAACTCCTCACACACCATCGGCATTGTCCATTCTGGAATCACATCCAATCAGACTCTGATAAAAATCTCCTGCTGTTCATTAACGTGCAAATAATTTGGCAGATAAGCCGTTGCCCTCTAAATGAGAGGTTTGACTGGGGGTCCACACTGGTGCTAAATTAAATGTCATGCTGTTGACTGTCAGTGTGGAGGAGGGAAGGAAAAACGGATTAGAAGTTGATTGGAATCGGAGATGAGATAATGAAGACAGAAGTTAATTCTTTTCAGCCAGGGAGGGCGAGTTATCCTTGACAAAAAGCTATCAACAACTCAAAGCCTGTTAGAACATTTGAACAGCATTGCAAGATGATGGATTTTGAGAGCTTTATTTTTTTCTATTGTATTTTGAAATGTTCCACTGAGAATATTGCACGTTATACCTCACAGTATTGTACTTATACTGTATTGTATCACACTTAAAAATAAGTCGATACGTGAAAAATAAATACCATACAATTATTGTGTGGTTAGGTTTTGTGCTGTTATGTACTGTGGTTATCAATAATAAATGTGAAATAAAGATGTAAGCTGTTCCTTTTGAACATACAGTATAGGTGTCCGGAACTTAACTCCATTTGTATTTCTTTGGTTGTTTTTAGCTGAAGTTTCTGAATTCTTTTTATTTTGTACTATGAAGTTTTCTATAGCATGTCGTATAAGAAGGATCTGGATTGTTATTTGGATTTCATGACCCACTCAAGAAATTAATTTAAGTTTAAGAAATGGTGGTCTGCCAAACCTAATCAGACTTTTCCACACAACAAATCAAGGCCTTTGGAGTCCCTGTCACTAGCTCATAATTTGTAAATTAAATGTTTAATTTTCTGCTGGGAACAATTAGACCTTAGCCTTAAGGAACATTCTGACATCTGCTGAGCCAAAGTGTTTTTCCTCTTCTATATATAATTCTGCTCTTCTATTTAATTAAATATTTCCTAATCCATGTCATCTCGGGCTTACATTTCCTCCAGGAACTTCTACTCCTCTCTCCTTCCTTCAGTTTATTCCTGTGCAGGGGCAATCTCTGCAACTCTGAATGCAGCATACCTATCTCAAGGATCAGCTCAATTAATTTTATAACTAGAGGGAAGCTTTAACAGAAATGATCATCTTATGCAAACCAATTGAGTTAATATGGGGACCCATTTGTTTGGAAAACAGAATCATTCGTCTACTAATTGAACACATTTTGTTCCATTCATTTATTTCAGTGCTTAACATCAGTGATATTTTTGTCATTGAGAACTTTAGCCAAGTTCTTTTCTACTGTAGCATTATCTTTTAAGGCAATAGTTGAACCTAGGAATAAACCTAGAATAGGAATATAAAAGATGTAGTGTTTTATGAGAACATTACCAAAGGAAAAGTCAATAGCATAGTTAATTCATTTGATTTTTATACAGATATAATACAGCAATTTATAAGCAGTGAAATAGAGTATTCTTATTGTTGTAGAAGGATTTTATAAAACAATCCATATAAAATAATATTAGATAAATACATGTTATATACTGTATACAGTACATACATCTGCAGTGAACTGGCATCCCATCCAGAGTATATCCTGTCTTGCGTCTTTTGCTTGCCAGGATAGGTTAGAAAATGGACAGATGGATATATATACATTTAAATATGTAATAAGAAGCTAATACTTTTAATATTGGTGTTGGTGTTTTTTCATGTATCTTGTCCCTCTATCTGCAGGTGCCAGATAACTCAGTGGTGGCCCTTGTTCCCAAGCAAGTTATGGCCTACAATTCAGTTAACAACTCCACCGTCTCCAGAACCTCAGCCAGCAAATATGGTACTACTGCATTTTCCCTTTCCTTGTTTTTCTGCTCTATCTGATTCTCCTACAGAGCAGGTGGAAAAGCTGTGGAAGGAGTCATTACAAAGGAATCTGAAGACGAGACCAGATTTGCGACTGTAGGGCAATGGTGCCCTTCAGATACAAGCGCAGGGATTGAAGGGCAGCTGCCAGGCAGCAAATGAGAGCAGTAGGAACTGCAACAATAACACTGCAGGGAGAGATACGGTCACTGCCTGTGCCAGCAGCCCTCACATTTCCAATTAGCTAATGCCAGTGTTTCCTCATAACTCTAGCCATACATCTGTCTCACCAGCTTTGCTGAGCCCATAATGCTGCCACTTTGCAGGAGTGTAATCTTGTTTTTGTAGGGAAGCCCAAACATAAAGACAAACACAAAGACAAAACAGAAAATCATTGTAAGTTGAAAACCAAAATATGCTACTGTATTTGATGTTAAGTATTCCCCCACCACCAGCAGGAGTACTGTCTACCTGAGAAGCATTCATCTTCCTGCATGAAGAATTGCAAAATAAGGAATTTTGCAGTATACCAAAAGTCAACATCACGTTTCTGCTGCTAAATAAAAATGTACAGTATTGGAAACATAGAAACCAACACATCACACTTCCTATTAAATAATAAACTGCAAAACTGATACTGTGGACAGGTATTGGTTGCCACCAGGCCTTTTTTATGTCAACCTTATTTCTTCTGTTGGGTTTAAACTATGTGTTTTTCCCATGTATTTTGTTTTTGCTTTCTTACATATTTCTTATTCATAAACGGTCACATACTTTCGTCCTTATGTGCACCGCCATGATGGAAATCACTAAACACGTTGTAAAACAGAAAATATCTAGAAATCTCTAGCTCCTGCCTGTGGACTCTGCACATTGGAGTTAAAACTCAGTTCGCCTCTTGTACAGGGAAATAACGCAGGCAAATGTAGAATAATCACTTTCACTGTACACCTTCAGCATGACCGTCCAAAAGGAAATTGTATGAAGCTTACATTCTAATATTTCAGAAATCTTGAAACACAGAAACAAATGAAAATTGATTTTTAGTATATACTCAAGATGAAAATACAGTACTTTGAGGAATCCTTCATAAGTACAGTATAACCCCAAATTAGAGTGCCTAAGGAATTGCTGGTCTACATATACAATAAATTGTCTTACACATCAAACCCACTTGAGAAGCATTAGAACATACACTACCGCACCTGAGATAATTAAGTATGACTATACAGTAACTGTACTTCTTTAGCTTATAGCATTTAAGGTGTGATATAAGCACAGGTGGAGAACCGTGAACCCGTAAACGATAGCACCATGGTTTTAATTAAAGACATTGTATAATACTTTATCATTATCAGTTATCACTATCTTGAGCTGAAAAATATTTTGAGGTGAGCAAGGAAGTTTGCTTCAGATTAAGAAAAAAACAAGAGCATAGGTTAATTATCTGGTAAAAAAAATGTTAGAAATAATTTGACATATAGAACTTCATTGAAATCACTGATACTCTTGTTCGCATATTGTAGATCCCTTGGGTCTCCTGTTTTTCACTCCATCTGAGTTCTAAATGACTTGAATTAACTATCATCTTGGTCAATGTTAATTAACACTTTGAGAGATTTTAACAATCAAGAATATTAAAGATCCCTTTAAAACGCGATTTATAGTAATTAATGTGCTACAGAGACGTATGTATGTAATGAATGTAACAACATTGTCGGAATGTATTTGACACTCACTCTGAACCCATGTGGCAAAGCGTTTTCTGCATAATTTTAAGGCTGTATCAGCATGAATCCCCATCAAGTCTGTGTGTCATGTTTCATGCTTACAATGTTTACCATGACCCACAGGTCATGTTATGATGTCCCATGACAGGATAACAAGGAGAGAATAGAATAGAATCTTGCTTTTATGCTGTAGGTCATTCCTAGAATGGAACAGAAGCCCATCCATCACTCTAATATGAATCACGTCATTTAATTGTACATGTGATCAAATTAAATAGGACTGAAGTCGATTAACCAAGATCAAAGGAACTATGCCCACAAACCCTTTTTTGCCTAAAATGCACCAAACAATATTAACTGTTTTGCTTCATCATAAAATGAATTTGATCCAAAGGCAAACCACACATCACTGCATTTTCTTTGGAATAAACTTCAAACATAAACCTCTATGAAACAGAGATGTGGTTTTCTACTTTGAACTCATGTACAGTACAATGTAAAAAAAAAAACGATAGTGTTAATACATCTTAAAAAACTGGCCTCCTTTCTTAATCAAAACTACAACAAAAAAAATGTCAAATAGTATTTCACTAGGGACATCAGTCTTATGGAGTTTTTCTTCTGTGGACGGTTCCACTTGACAAACCTTGTCAGGCACAATTACTCTGTCATGAAGAAATACGACACACTCAATAACCTGCTGTATGAGCACACACCATGTTTCCTGCACTATTTCCCCATCACTTCCAGTGCCCAAGGTTGGGTTCAGAAAATCCATTTAGAATATCAATCACAGAAGTTTTACAGTAATTGTGACTTCTGCTTCTCTCTTTCGTATGCAGTTTTCTTTTTATTTCTTATGAGATTCCTTTTCAAAATGCCATATTGATAAATTCATCCTGAATGTTTTAATGTCAGTTTTCTTTCTGTATAATGCACATATTTTCATTTTTAATTGAACACCCTTTAGGATGTCAAAATAAGTGTAAGTTTCATTTTCCGGACTCTGGAAATGTCAAGTTGGTAAAGTTTACTGTTTGTTTTTTTCCACTATTGCATTTTTACATCTTATTCCTTTTTCTGCTTCATCAAACAGAAAACATGATTCGGTACACTGGAAGTCCAGACAGTCTGCGCTCCCGCACTCCAATGATTACCCCTGACCTTGAGAGTGGGGTCAAAGTGTGGCACTTGGTCAAGAACCACGAACATGGGGATCAAAAGGAAGGCGACAGAGGCAGCAAGATGGTATCAGAGATATATCTGACTCGGTTGTTAGCCACCAAGGTGAGTTTAACCACATCTTAAACTACCAAGGATAATAAATGCTCTTTCTGTAAAAAAAATCAAATTATGGAAATTCAGTTGACTATATTTTATATAAATAATTCTACTAAACCTGCTGTTTTTCATCAATTCATTCTTAAGCTGACAGAAGAATCTGGAAACGTATTTATTTTAGTAGTAAAATACTAAAAAGTAGAAAACAAATTCATATAGGGTTCCACTACTCAGCTTTTAATTTACTAATTTGGTTTATCAGTGCAGTAGATTTAGTTTGGCAAGACTCTTTAAATGCAACCAGAAGAAAGACAAAGCAGAAGAAAAGTAAGTGGGGTAAAGTATCTTACAATGTACTGGCATATAGTGAGGGAGTGTAACTGACCAGCCGTTTCCCAGAGCTGTCTGTGTCAGATTGATCTAGGGTTGTGCAGTTCACAGCTCATTTAGATAGAAAATAAGTGTAATAATATTTCTCTCTATAAATAGGGAATGAACACAAGCCTAATAGTGGTTGTCTCAGACTAGACATGCTGACAACAGTCTGAGGGTTATGTTTAGACTATAGAGAAAGGCTTAGATTTCCCTTAGGCTTGAAGAGAGAAACAGGTTTGCTTTTCTGTATGCATTAGGTTAGTATGGAGAAGTACAGTACACTCTCAGATAAGGTTAAAGGTGTATAAAGGGCGAAACTGTTTCAGACAGCTGGCCCGTCATGATGGTTACAACTACAGAAGAGTCCAAAGGCTTATGAACCGTGTCGGGATGGGATGGTTTAATTAGATTTGGATTGGTCTTGTCTTGATACCCCACAGAATTATTAACTTTTCATTACAGCAAGTTGCATGTAAGGACCATGATAACAGGAGATTAATGTGCATGGAACATCCAACCCAATGCTAGCACTTAAGCACTTGCCACAGGTAACAAGTGCATCATTTATTGGATAGGTGTCAGGAAAACAAACACAAACAGTCTTAAGGTACAACAAGTGCTCCTTGTATTTAAAGCGCATGGAAATAAGCAAACACAACGAAAACAAAGGCCTCACTCATCTTTGAACTATAGTTTACTTCTTGTGTCCCTCTCTATAACTTTTTGGGCAGCTAAAATGCTTACTTGCTTCAAAACAGACTTTTCCAAACTGAAATACTAACAAGAATGCAGGTCACAAAGACTTAACAGTTTCACACAAGAATCTTCTACAGACCCACAAAGGGACTGTGCACTGTCACACAAGGTTTCTCTCTCATGCTGCTCTTTTTGTTTTATTGCTTCTTTGCAAGTATCTTCTAACAACTGGTCAGGTAACTGAGTGCAGGAGCACATTTCCCACTGTTTTCTGGGAAATGTGGTGGAGGCAAGGTCTGCCATCTTTCCTTATACTGCTGTTCTCACACAGAGATATTACTGATATGATAATACTGTATCCCAACATCGTTTTCAAAATTTACAGTTTCAGTCCCCAAATGGAATACTTTTTTTATCCCTGAAAGTGTATAATACATTTAATTCTGTTAATAATGGAGATCTTATAAAAGAGAATCCTGTCTAAGGAATATGAGCCCATGCAAGTGAGTTGGTTACTTGGCAGTCATTTTTCTGGGTTTACATGTCTTAGTGACACAAATTTGGAGTGTGGAGATGCGGAGGGAAATTACAAAGGAGTCTAGAAAGTGACATATAATTAAAAAAGAGGCTTCCCGCATTACACATGAGTCATTTCCAAGTGATTACACAGCCCAGAATGTTGTCACTTTTAGAGATAGATTGTTTTAGTTAAATCACCAGTTTATCTTCCAGAATATCTCTTCATGAAAAATGATTGCCCTGACAGCAGTGTAATTTACTACTTTTGGCTTTCACCCCACCAATAAATAGTCAGGACTGCTGTTTACGTTGACATCTTCCGTATTACACCCATCAGTGTCATTTTGCAGGAGGGCAATTTTTTACCCGTGAATTGATTAGGCTGACATGTCTGAAGCTCTGTTTTATGTGTATAGAAGCAGTTAATTCATTTGGGTAAATGACCGGGCTTATTTACAAGGCTTTAATAGCTTTTTACTATAGGGAAACTGGTCTAGTTTGCCCAACCAGGCTATGAAACCTGTCAGGAATTTTTATTAATATCATCACTGCCCCAAGCAGCTGCTGAAAAGAGAGAGGTGATATATAAATATATATTCGTTTCTTCATAGGCAAAGATAAGCTGTCAGAAATCTGGGACACCCTAGAATTATTGTGATTGTCAGCTAACAGGATTTTGTTCTTTTGCCATTTGAATGGAATACAATTTTATTTGCAGTGCTGTGAACTTCATGTGGTAGTGTTAGACAGCTTGCTCGATATGTGACTGCTTTGCAGTGAAATCTATAATTTGTTTCATTACAAGTGGATTAGATTTTCCCTTTAACTCAACAATATTAAATAAAATTATGATCAGTGGAATGGTATTGGAATTAAACCTAGCACACAAGAGGCTTACAAGATATTTTCCATGCTCACTGCTATTATTAAATGTTAACTGTGTAACACTTTCTTGTTCACCTAGAAATTGCTCTAGTGCTTGTGTCATTCAACAAGGGATGTGCTAAATGAGATATAGCTCCTCGTTTTTATATCTGTAAGGATTTATGATTTAAGTAGAAACATACCTTTCTCTTTTAAATTTATTAATGATTTTATCTGCTACAAAACGCCTACATTTATAACCAACAGATACAGCACTTCCATCTCTTTCATGTGCACCATTATGAATGACCAGGCACGAGATGGTGCTTTGTAATTGATTGGCCTTGGCAGTACTGCAGTAATCCCCTTTGATGTCATTGAACGTCTCGCAACAAATTCTTACCTTCTTCTCACACAGTAGGGAATCCCTCCCATACTGTACCCCTTTGCACTCAGAAGTGATCTGCTGCCATACTCGATCAAGATCTGTTCTCTTGGGAAGAACACAGTCACCCATACAGAGAAGGGTTTCAAGCTCACAGCAGCTTGGATATAGAGAGAGTCAACAGAAACTCACTTTATGTTTTCAAATGCCAAACCTCATAACAGCAATTACTCCCTGTTTTATTCAAGCAGCTGGGTGAATTCAGTTGTAAAGTAACAGATCAGTAAGTGGATGCAGGCAACACAGGCCATATCCCAGAACTGTAGCACAGCACTGTGGAAGGTAGAGTGTGCAGTATAATCAGGTTCATTCTCCAGTTGTGGGGACCATCTGGTTTAAGAGAAGTAGGTCATAGCTCTCATCCTGCACACATAAAAAAATAAGAACGGTAACTTCCAAACATAGCTTAACCATTCTAGAATTTGGGAAATACTTGCTAAACCATTCTAGAATTTTTGTACACACAGGTGCATATCTGCGACACTGAAAAAATAAAATACACGTTTGAGATATGGGTCTTTGAAAATATTCACCACACAGCAGTGTTTTGGCACAGTTCAACACCAGAGATGGCTAAACATCAGAGTTGAGATTAAAATGTGCACACCTTGTTTATGATTTGTCCACAGGGTACCTTACAAAAGTTCGTTGATGATCTCTTTGAGACAATATTCAGCACAGCACACAGAGGGAGTGCTCTTCCCCTCGCCATCAAATACATGTTTGATTTCCTAGATGAGCAGGCGGACAAGCACAGTATCCATGACCCTCATGTCCGGCACACGTGGAAAAGCAACTGGTAAGTTTTCCCTCCTCAAATATTCATCCTGTTGTGCTTTTTATTTTGTATCATCCTTTTTTTCTAATGTCATAAGAATTTCTTTGAGTTCTAAGGTAAAGGTAGGTTTTAGAGAGACAAGAACATAAGAACATCCAGCCATTTCTTGAAAACAACGAGTTTCAGCTTCAGCAAAATGGTTGGGTAGCTTGTTCCCTTTGACCTTAACCGTCTGAGTAAAGAAGTGTCTCCTGTTCTCGGTTTAAAATACAATTCCATGTTGTTTCTGCTTCTGTCCTCTGTTTCTTGTTTTATTGTTCATTCTCAAGACGTCTACTAGGTTGACTTCTTCAGAATGAACAGAGAATACTTGGATCAGGTCTCTTCATTGTCCTCTGTTGCTCATACTTTTCTCTGGATGTATTCCTGGACAGGACATTAACTATACTGTGATGACCAGAATTGTACATACAATATTATTCTAAAGGTGGTTTTAATGGTGTATTATACTGTATAACTTCACATAACATTCCTAGATTGTAATCATTTAACATCATTTGCCAGGTGTTGCCTTGAATTTTATCTACTTGCTTTTAAATTTCTTCTGCTTATACGGTGTTTGCTAATCCCCTGTTTTTGGTATAATCTGCAAACTAGACTAGACTAACTGTAGCAGAATCTGGATCATTGATATGCATTGTGAAGACCAGTGATCCAGGTACATTTCCCTGTAGAACTCCACTGATAACATCATACCAAAGTGAGAGTTCACCCTTTATCTGTACTCCCTATCTTCTATTTATTAACCAAATCTCAATCAAAACATGTGTTTCCTGAATAAATTAAGTCAATTACATTTTTATAAAGTCAATTCAGTTCTGTTCTCTAGGGTCAATTATACAAATTGATGATGTTCAACCTATTTTGAGCAGTGGCTGACAGATGTTTCGTCTTGGTCAGATGTTTGCTTCCTAAAAGATCCTATCCATCTGTCTTACTGTGATATACAGTAAGTGTTTGAAGTTTATAGTCAAAATGAACACTACTAGGTTAGGGTTACAGCAAAACACTTAAGCAAGTAGTTGAAGATGAAAAAAAGAAAAGCTTAACTAGAACTATAGCAGAAATCAAACTGATAAAATTGTCAGTGAAAACACCAACAGCTTCAGTTTTTTGTTCACCTAAATCAGCTTGCAGAGGGCAGAAGACAGAGGAATTACAAAGCTTACACTGCAAAGTCTAAACTAGTCTCTCATCAGCACCAAGAACAGAAAAGCCAGGTGAAAATTGGCTTGGAAGTATGAGCCAGGAAAGTTTTAGATCAAAGTTTTATTCACAGAAGAGACCATAAACACAAACCTTTAGCTGTGTGATTGAAAGGTCAAAGCATGGAGGAAAAACAGGAATTGTAGATGCTCCAAAGAAAAGCACTTTATCTGTGCAGTATGTTGAAGTTACTGTCATACCTGGACATGAGTGGCCATCTTTAGAACAGGCTTATTTATTTGTGCTGATGTAACTGATGATGACAGCAGTAGATTGAATTAAGTTTACAGAAACATTTTATGTATGTTATTTATAAGAGGATCCCATATATGACAGGTCCCAGAATACACAGTACAAACTTTACAGGGAAGGAGTTGTTAAAGTACGGAATCATAGACTGGCCAAGTTAATCTCCAAGTGCACATGGAGAAGTGCGCATATATTTTGCATTCTAAGGAAAACATTGAAGTCAAAATATCCTAAAGAACTGCAAATGGCTTGGTGAAGCCTTGTAAATGATAACACAAATCATGCGGTGAGTTCAGTAGGACTTAATGCAATTATTTCCTGAAAAGGATATGCAACCAAAGTATATTTTTAATTCTAAAATGATCAAATGTATGCATAGATTTACCTAAAAATAATTAAAATTATACTCTTTGATGTATTTATCTTTCATATTAATCTCACAATCATACAGTAAGTATGAATTGCCTGATAAGGCAAAATTATAGTTTCAATTTTTCTTTTTTAATTTTTTATTTGGATTGCTGTCTTTTCCTTGGCACTCCTAGAATTAACTGTCCTTGAGCAGAGATTGTTGGACTGACATAAGTAGATGAGTTCTGCTTTTGTGCTGCAAAGGTGAATATTCTGATTACCTGTTAATTACTGGCAATACTTCTTTTATTTCCACCTTTCAAACATTGTAGCAACCTGACTTTAGGGTGTTTTGATTAAACAACAGTATTCAGTGTATAGCACATTATCAGTGAATTACTGCAGTATAATCCTCACGGGCACCACCGAGCAGGGGAAGATTGATGGCATTTATAGCTATGTGTGATGGCATCTCACTGCTCTTGCTCCAATGCAGTAGCTGGAACAACGAAATAAAAAGCAAATACAAATATGCAAATAAGATAAATTACATCTTAGCCTTTAAAAAGCTTTTGGCTGTTTGTTTACAGAATGCAATTTGCTTTTTAGTGTTTTTAATGATTTTAAGTTTGGATGGCCATTCCAGTTTCCATTTTGCAGAAATGGAGGAAAATAGCAAAGTAATTTGTATGTACAGTATGTGAGCTATATTGTTAACTGCATACGTCTTGCAATTGTATGCGTTAATTTGAGCGATGGCGCAAGAGCGATTGCTGCACTGAGAGACATACAACCTGTACCATGTAGCCTGATACATTCATCTCAACCACTGCGATCTGGTTGAAAAAGCTTCTCAACAATCACACTGCTCAATGAGACAGTTCAGAAAATACATATGAAAATAAACACGTGAGATGTCACGTACCTGTAGGTAATTGGTTTAGAATGGGAAATGCCCTGAGTTCTTCATGCTCTTTGACTGTCCCTCCTGAATGATAGAGAGCAATGAGCCACTGTACTTTTCAGCTGGCTTGTTTTATGTACATCTGTAGTCGGCAGCACTGTGTATCATTTGCTCCTTTGAATATATACTGAAAGCCATATTTTTATATTTTGACAGAATAGCATGCCTGCCAGTGTTTCTGTAATCTTTACAATACTAAACATGGAGTCCTGCATTAAAAACAGTGAAGCACACAGCAGCAGCTCCCCTGGAAATTCTTCATCTTGCTCGCTGTGTGAAAGAATTACACTTAAAACTGCCCACTGCTGTCTCGGTTTAGCCTTTCCATTTCTGCCATACTGCTCTGTGTGCTACTAACTGCATCAAATTATCTTCATCAGATAGCTGCGTCAGGACTGACATAAACCCAAGAGGTAATGAGCTTTGATATCACAGAGTTATTAAGGGTGCTGTTGTGATAGGCTGTGCCTTTGAAAGGAAGGTAAAAGGTTGAGAATCGCCTCCAAATTAATTTAAACTGATTGACCTGTGGTTCATTTTTTAGTAAATAAACTTTTAGTTCATTACTGAGAGGAGATGCAATCCGCTCCTGACTAGTGACTCAGTCAGTGTTAACGATATGCTAATGTTTTCTAAGCCAAAACACTCTGTGATGGGGACTGTAATAATATACTGTATTGCTCACTGTCAAGCAAATGCAAAGGGAAGCTGAGTGGTGAACTGGGATGCAGGTCTTTATTTGCTTTTTCTTATAGTCCTCGTTTTTATGCATTTGGGTTATTATGCTCTCCTACAGTCTGTTAAGTGTTTAAAAGGTTACAGTAGGTCACACTTGCATTAGACATCATTGGGATTGCTTTCAAAAGATGGTGGTATTAAACCCCAATTAATTATAAAACGTTATCTGAGGCTGAATTTATATGTTCAAGTTTAGTGCTCATTTTTGTTTTAGTTTATGAATATCTTGTATTCTGCTGTATTTAATCATTTCCTAAAGTAAATTAAGATTCCATCTCATGACTAATATTCATATTGTATGACAAAAAATGGTAATCTTTTAAAATAAATGTTTTTTTTCCATTTTTGTACAAATTAATTAAAATAAGCTAAAAATGTATTTTTCTGATTGCTATTACCCCTTAAAGTTAGTTACTTCAAGAAACCAAAAAGCTGTTTTCAAGAGATATTTATGCGATTCCCTTCATTAAAAATAAATTAAAAAATAATCTTACTGAAATTGATGTAATATTACAGATAGAAAGATCTATCACGGTAATCATAGATCTTTTATTTTGATTTTGCATTCTCATAGTCATGTTTAATAGTGAAATATAATGATTGGTTTTCCAATAACCTTTTATTGTGCTATAATGTAAAAATAATTCAAATAATTCAAATATTCTTAGCATAAAAAAGAAAAATATTGTGACTTTATTCATCCATGGCATTAAATTAATATTTCTTTTGAAAACAAGCACTCTATGTATGGCCTTATCCATTATTAGAACATTGTACTCCAAGAAGCTTTCCTAACTTTTAGCCAAGACATGTCCTAAGCAAATGCATGTTGATCTTGAAAAAGATGTTTATGCAGATACATCATTTTTGTATTCAGGACAGTTTGGAGAAGTAATGCAAAACGCTAACAGAATGTTGGGATTTAGTTAAAAAAAGGTGTTGAATTTACATCAGGGAATGTTGTATTAAAGTGTACTAGTAAAATATCAGAATAGAATATAGAATAGAATTTAAAATATCATGTAAAATTTTGGACACCCCAGTAATTGACTTTGACAAAAATGGCAATAGCTAATAAAAGGTTAATGCTGATATTAAATCAATCCAAAAACGAGTGGCCAGCTACAGTACATCTCTGTCTTATGTCTTACATGGATAGAATAAAAGAAACGTTTTTAGCCTTATGTGGAGACGATTGTGAGGGAACCTTGTTCAATTATTCAAATCCCCAAAGGACTGAGAAAATCAGCCCAATGGTCATGTTCAGAATCAACAGTGAAACACAGATGTAATCTATAGGGAAGTGCCTTTACAGGAGAACAGGAGGCAGTTCTTCACATAGAGGGTTGTGGAAGTATGGGCCATGGTGCCAAAGCTCAAACAGTACCATCGCTTATGTCAAGAAAAAAAGAGAAATGAGCTTGGTAAACCAAAATGCCTTCACTCATTTGCA